GGAAATGCAGAAGGAAAGACGGGTATTGCCCGTATCAAGCAGCAGGCCGAGGGTATCTCCTTACCCGCTTCGATCTTCTAGGAACAACAAACAAAAGGAACCGGAGTCTCCACTCCAGTCAGAGGGTGCCAAACAATGGGAGGACGTCCACTGCGTTATCTGCATGGAACCGCCCCACAATGCCGTTCTCTTGCACTGCTCGTCCTTCTCCAAAGGCTGCCGCCCTTACATGTGCGACACAAGCTCACGCCACTCTAACTGTTTCAAGCAATACCGGCGGAGCAATACCACCAGCCGGTACGAGGTCAAGACCCTCAACTGTCCTCTCTGCAGGGGAGAGGTTTACGGGACGATGAAGGTGACAAGTGCACGGAGGTTCATGAACGCCAAACCGAGGACTTGTTCGATAGAAGATTGCGGTTTCTCCGGGACGTATTCTCAGCTGAAAACCCATTTGAAAACTTCCCACCCGGATTTCACCCCGCCGAAGATCGACCCGTGGAAACAGTACATGTGGGAACAGATGGAGAGGGAGGCGGCATACATAGACATTCTCAGCGCTGCCGAGATTCAACGTCAGAGGTGGACGGCCGAGCAGAGGGTGGAGATGATGCATCAGCAGCATCAGATACCGTTCGGACACTCGGTGTTTCAGGTGAGCCTGGGAGGCGTGGTGGAGGATCTGTACGGTTCGAGTGTAGGGAGCAGCCATTCGAGAGCCACTGCTTATATTCCCCGACTTGAGTTTCGTGCTACCTTCTGAACCCTGAGGTTGTTTAGGTTTATACAGCACCAACATATTTAAAGTTGTCGTTTTTATGTGTCTTTCATCATTCTTCTCTTATATTTCATGCTTTAGAAATATATCTTCCTAGTAGTAGCTATTATTAACACGATAGCTCTCAGCTTTGACAAATTCTTTTAAAGCTTTTTTGCCCTTTTAACTCTTTTTTTCCCTCCCTGTGGGAATATACCTTTCCATGGAATCTAAACATAAAAGATTATTACTGCTTTTGCACCTCGAGAATTTGAGATTTGATTACAAAGTATGAAAGTTTCAGACACAAAGGTGTTGGATGTACAGTAAAGGGGAGAAAGACCTATGAATGATGTCCGGAACATAAATCCCGAAGCATGTACTCGTTGCAAGAACACATCTCTGAAAGATCCATGGTGGGAATCTGGTGATCCCCTTCCGCAGGATCTCTCAGCAAAGGAAGCATATTTCTGTAGTTTTGTTTACTCGAACTCCCGTGTGCTTGGAAGATTTCATGCCCAAAAAAACAGCAAGACTGAATCAGATTCACCTTTCCTGAATTCGGTTTAAACAGTATTACAAAAGCCCGAGGGTTGTAACCTGACATCGGCCGGGCCAACAGCAAAAACACATCTTTTGAAGATGGTGTCTTCGTTCAGACACGGGCTGATGATCCTCGTATAATGCAGCCTCGACAGCCTAGCCTACAGAACATCACCATTAACACTCGTGACAGAACATCGCAATCAGAAAAGTGCCCTGATAAGCAACTCGAAGGCGATGACCTCTCGCCTGAAACCCGGCGACCGCCGCATCGGAACCACGATTGTTATAGCCGACGTCACGGTCTGATGCCTCACGAGGTCGGTGAGTGACGGATACACGATTACCGTCCGGTGAAATCAGTAGCTTGTTCAGTGTAACCAAGGCGTCACCGTCTCTGCAAGGAGCGCCTATCCTATCAAGCCCTGCAACCGGTAGTGCATGGTGTTCGCATCCCGACAAAACACGGAGGAGGAGGAGAATCGGGGTTTCTCGGGAACTACGCTGGGCTTTTGGGAAGAAGACGACCATCAAAACGACGACGTACTACGTATTTGAGAAAAGCAATGTACACGGTTTGACAGTCGAGATTAATTTAATTAATGAATAATAATACCCTCTATTATTTATTTAACAATTTAAAGTTAGGGATTTCGCAAATTCAAGGGGCATAAAAGGGAATTTAAAAACATTGGATCCAGGTTTCGGGAAGATTGAACCCGACGTGAATCGAACACGCAACCTTCTGATCTGGAGTCAGACGCGCTACCATTGCGCCACGGATCCTGGTTAAACAGATTATTTTAAAATAAATATAATCTAATCCTTAGGGTTTTCCATCTTCTGAAAGCTTCTTCAAATAACCTTCGCTCTCCCTCGTTTCTGCGACTTCATCTCCGCGACCAACGAAGTTTCTTACTCTCTCGCTCTCGTCAATCTGTCGCCGCCACGTTCAGATATCCGGCTGTTCCTCACTCCGGCCCTCCGGCTCCGAGAGGTAGCTTCTCCTCGCCAAGGTTCCCTACTTTAATATAAATCTTCCAATATCTATAAATTTATTCGCTGTGGAATAATTTAACGTTCTAAACTTCGGAATTGAAATTGATTATGAGAGAATAAATGAACTCACATTGATGTACGATGATAGTCTGAGAAGTTGTTGTTGCATTCCCATGTGGTTGTACTAAATCACATGTCAACTGTGTTTCTTTAGCTTTTGTCAATGAGATATGCGAGAATCGGGAGATCTGTTGAAATTTCGATTGGTTGCAAGCAATTTCTTGTTGGCCGATTACTTGTAGTTTTGGTAAATTCTGTGTTTTCTTTGTCCTGTTTTTGTTTGGATATTCGAATTTCTATGAATCCGATGGGAGACAAATGATCCTGAGAACACTGGATTTTCCTATCCATGTTCATATTTTCTGAGTACTCTTTTAGGATTAGGTCAATGTTATTTCTGATCTATGTTGTTCATGAAACTGACAGAAATCAGGTTCTCTTTTGGGGTCTTGTAATTTCTAAAACAGCTTAATTCCGGTTGTGATGGTAAAAAAGCATGGTGTGAAAATTGAAAAAGGCGATAATAGAGAAGGAAATTGAGGAATGCAAACAAGTTATGTACAATCGGAAGAAGTCTTCCTTCTCTCTTCCAACCGCCTATTACTGGATGTATATATAATCTGAAACAATTAAACGTTGTGGATTTTACGCAGATGGATGAAGCCAACGAAATATTGCAGCGCAATAGGACGGAGGATGTCACTTGGCTTTGCTCGCTCTCTGAATCTGAACTTGTAAGTGCTCGTAAGACCGTGAAATCTCATCTTTCCCACGGACTATCAACTAACTGTTCCTTTGTCTCTGTCTCAACTCCGTGTAACATGTGGTTCTTGATTTGATATGGTGACCAATCGTTCGTTGTTGCAGGACTTTCTCATCAGCTTAAAGAAGCTAATATCACAACGTGCCAAAATAATTGGGCATGAAGAACTTGTGGAGAAGTTTGATCTCAAGATGCTTCGTGCTCTCGGTACGATTCTTCCTGCCCTTTTCTTGTTACTTGAGTACTCTCTGGGAAACGTTGCGGGATCATAAAAAGAAAGAACATGGTTGTAGCTCAGAAACGTAACTTGAATGCAGGATTTGTTCTGATGGAACATGTAAGAGGAAGACTAAAGGATAATAATATTTCGCTTGCCCCAATTGTTGCTGATCATCTTAAGCTCATAGAGAGCTGCAGTTTGTTAAAGACATCAGTCGAGGATACAATGGACATTGAAGAGATTAGGGTTTTGCTCGGAATCGATTCGAGAAGGAAATCACGGAAAAGGTAGGAGGGGTCTTTGGAATTACAGAACACTTGCTTGGTGATATTTTTGTGATCGTCGTTCTTCTTGTTTACGTGTTTTTTTGTCCCCTCTGTTTCAAGACCGCGGCGGTAGCAGTGGCTGTTCTGATTGAGGAACATTTTCGTGAAGAGATGTTGTCTTTTAAGGCAGAAGACTCAAAGCATGACAGAATCTATGTTTCGGATGTGTTGTGATCATTGTCTGAAATTTTCAGAACTGTTACACGAATGGATGAAATTCGTGCCTCTCTGTATATTCTCTAGTCATAATGTCTCAGAGGAAATTTGGTCATAAGTAAAAGGCTTAATTTTTATCACTAGATATAATATACCCTTTAGGTTGATTTGGTTTTGTTCAATTTTGGGGCTTGTGATTTGGTACAAGTTGAATAAATGTGTTATACTATCATTTGAGTCAACAGAAAGCACACAAAAGAAAACATCCTCTGTACATGTAATAGCTTTATGACGCAAGAAATGATTGCCATATACTCTCTACGGTTAATTAATTGATCACGATACAAGTCTTCGAATGATAAGAGTTTTTTCCGAATTTTAGAATTTAAAAATCAAAATAAAATCCATTCAAGATTTTGTATATTTATTTTTTCTAAAAACCCAAAAAATCATTTTATTGAAAAAATCAAATAAAAACCATAAACTCATTTTTTTTTGGATTTTTTCTTTTATAGAAACTATAAAAACTCTCAAAACCAAAAACTATCACCGTTCATAACCTAAATTTACAAAATTTTGAGTTTTTTTTAATTATAAATTACAACCAGAATTGTGTTTTGTAAAAAATATTTAAAGAGCCTAAGGAACCCAATTCCATGCCACCAACTCGTGTGACTGATTATTTTCGAATTCAGTTATACATTTTATAGTGTGTGTACGTATGTATATATATATATATATATATATAGTTTTGAAAAACTAATTTTATTTATTTATTTTATATGAATTAAATTTTAAAGTTTAAAAAAATTTATAATCGTCCCACTTTTACATTAGATTCGGTATTCCGCCCGGTTCTGTTGAACCGAATCAAAACGGTGGCCATAGGTAAAACCCTAAACCCCCTCCATAAGCTCCCGTGTGTTGCTACCATTTCTTCCGCTCTCGAGTTCTCCCCCATAGCCGTATTCCTCTTATTCAATCTTTTCGAATTTCGAATCTCTCTCTCAGTGGGTTTGACCTGAATTCTGTGTTTTGTTCTCCATAGAGCAGGTTAGTGTTCGTGAGCTCAACGGCGAGGAGACATGTTTGCTCTTTCCAAGGTTTTGCGGAGGTTAGCTCTTCCTCAAGTTCCATGGTTCTCTCTGTTCTTTTTTACCATTTTGAGTTCTTCATTCCTCAATTTCTTTACTCGCTCTCCGCAGATCGCACATCTCGATTTCTCTGATTAAGGTTTTGTGGTTTATTTCCTTGTCTTCCGTGATCCGAACAAGACAAAGATTTTTTCTTCAGATAAAATGACAAAGGACTCATGTTCGGATCTTCTTCATGCTAGTTAGGGCTTATGTATGTATGTACGCACGTCTTGTAACGCCATTGTTGAACAGAGCTGTGCAGATATCATGAATATATTTGCGTTTTGTTAATGTTTGCGCGTTGCAAAAACCAGTTATCCGATTCGTGGTTTTAGGCTGTTATCAGGAAAAATCTCTAATTAAGATGAGAGTATACAAAGTTCTGTGATTTATTTGAATTCAAGTGGTATGAGCGCTAGAGATCATTTCATAAACATGGTATTCGAATAGCTTATGTTATTCTTCTTTTTTTTTTCTTGCTTTTCAGAAGCCAAAGACTCCCACTCGGTGTTTGTAACGCTGTGTATGCTAAACTAGAGGTACCACTGGAGAGAAGGAGCACTGTTCTTGAAGCACCTACTGTGGTATTTGATAAATCCCAATCTTTCGAGGGATTTTACCAGTTTTCCTCGGATTTCTCTACAAGTAGACGCTCACTTTCCTCAAAAGCTGATGCTAAAGGTGTTGAAGAAGAAGACCTCGAAGATGGGTTTTCAGAGCTTGAAGGTGCAAAGTCAGCCCAAGAGGCTAGCAGTGAAAGTGACATTGAAGATGACTTAGTGTCCGAGGAGCTTTCAGGGGATGAAGACGACGGTGAACTTGACAACTCTGATGCCAAGAGTGGGTCAAGGAATGCTATGCGGAAGAGATCATCCGAGCTCTTCAGGGCCATTGTTTCAGCGCCAGGTATCTCTATAGACAGTGCCCTTGATAAATGGTTGGAAGAAGGAAAAAAGATAAACCGGGCTGAGGTCGCAAATGCTATGCTCAATCTGCGTAGACGCCGGATGTATGGGAGAGCATTGCAGGTAATTCTTTTAGTAGCTGAGTATCCATGTTCGTTCATATGGTGAACAATTAAGATTCACAGTCTTCCACCTAAGCCATGTGAATTTTGCCTATTCCATCTCTGCATATTATCCATGCTCGTGCATATATTATATACACGTTTTTTTCTTTTCAAGTTTCAACTCTCAATGTTGCATATGCTTCCTATAAATTCTCCAATTATAATCTTGTTGCTCTTTAGGTTAGTTTTCTTCGTCTGTTTAATGCTCATGTGCTCTGTATCTTATCTTATTGTGTCTATAGATGTCAGAGTGGTTGGAAGCAAAAAATCAAATGGAATTTACCGAGAGAGATTATGCTTCTCGGCTTGATTTGATAGCCAAAATCCGTGGCCTGCAGAAGGCAGAAGCTTATATCGAGAAGATCCCAAAATCTTTCAGAGGGGAAGTGATATATCGGTCTCTTCTAGCCAATTGCGTTGCCACGAGCAATGTTAAGAAAGCAGAAGAGGTTTTCAACAAAATGAAGGTCTTGGGGTTCCCTCTGACGTCATTCGCTTGTGACCAGTTGCTTCTCCTCTACAAGAGAGTTGACAAGAAGAAAATAGCTGACGTGCTGTTGCTGATGGAGAAAGAAAACATCAAGCCTAGTCGCCTTACATACCAGACTCTGATTGACACCAAGGGATCCTCAAACGACTTAACCGGGATGGAACAAATTGTGGAGACAATGAAGGCTGAAGGTGTTGAACTGGACCTTCGCACACAGTTTATCTTAGCTAAACACTATGCAGCTGCCGGGCTTGAGGAGAAGGCCGAGAAAGTCTTGAAAGAGATGGAAGGTGAAAGCTTGACGGTGAATCGCTGGGCATGCAAGGATCTGCTCTCAGTCTATGCATCTCTCGGGAGAGTCGACGAGGTGGACAGGATTTGGAAGATTTGCGGAGAAAACCCCCGAATTGACGAATGCCTAGCTGCAATTCTGGCTTTTGGAAAGATCGGTAAAATCAAAGAAGCAGAGGAGATTTTCGAGAAGTCACTGAAACTGTCAAACAGGGTTCCTGCCAAGGTTTTCTCGGCTCTCCTGAGGGTTTATGTGGATCACAAGATGCTGTCAGAGGGTAAAGATCTCGTTAAACGGATGGCGGAAAGCAACTGCACGATAGGGGCATTGACATGGGATGCCCTTATCAGGCTCTACGTTGATGCTGGGGAAGTCGGAAAGGCAGACTCTCTGTTGAACAAGGCGACACAACAGAACCAGATGAGACCCCTGATGAATTCCTTCATGTACATCATGGAAGATTATGCAAAAAAGGGCGATGTGCATAACACAGAGAAGATCTTCCAAAGGATGAGGCAAGCCGGGTATGTATCCCGGTTCAGGCAGTTCCAAGCCCTTCTCGAGGCTTACGTTAACGCCAAAAACCCGGCTTATGGAATGAGAGACAGGATGAAGGCTGACAACATCTTCCCGAACAAGGCCATGGCAGCCCTGCTGGCTCAGACCGATCCATTCAGGAAGACTGCTGTCTCCGACCTTCTTGATTAAGTCCTTTTTATATTCTTCTAGAACTTTCTTCTCTTGCTGTTTCCTAGTATTTCGTATGTCTCTTTGGATGATTCTGTCGTGATGATGATGTAGGCCTGAAAACGGTTTGTTTAGTTTCTGGTTCTGTCTAAAATCGCCATTAGGCATTGGTTTGATCAACTCAGATATCCTCGAGCAATGAGGAAGCTTTCATCTGTCATGCCAATAACTAAAACTTGTGCAGGAACTAGAATGCTTTTAAATATTCCTGATCTGATGAATGTACAAAGACTACGAATGAAGAAGAAAGAACCTAACAAAGACAACTTCAGGATCAACCCCCAAAGATCTTTCTCCTTTGGGTCGGGTCAACACTAATCAACTGTAATCTAAGATGGGACGAGATTTCCTTTCCGGCCCTGCAAATCTTGCCTAAGTGCAAGTCTTTTGATGAATGGAGACATGGCAGCAAGCAGCGTCTTTGGGCATTCCTCGTGTGGTAAATGCCCGCATCCAGATATCGACACTAACCTCTGCAGTTTTTATATGATGTTTCTTGTCAGATTCTCTTTTTGAAAGAAAGACAAAAAAAAAGGGTTTAGGTGGTTTTGCGTTTCGATGCAGGGAACTTACAGAGTTTAAGAGTTTGGAAGCCATGGCTTGGGACGACTTGAGAGGGACAAGGGCATCTTCCGCTCCTGCAATGACTAAGACCGGCAATTCCTCCATGGACTCCAGAAGCGAGGTTGCGTTTTGAGGTAAAAGCACCATCTCATATGACAGTCTACCAATCTCGTGAAGAGCCTCGTCCCAGCCTTCTACATGTAACGGGGCCTGACATGTCATAGAAGAAATGACTTTAAGAGACTATATATGTGAAGCAAAATATATATGGAGATGAGAGGAAGGGTACTTTACCTTGTATAGCCTTAAGACCTCTGTGGTGAGCTTGTTGGCATCATACCAAGCTCGTCGATTAACCACCTGAGCTATTTCAGTACGCAAAAGTGGCCTGACAAGGTGCTTCTTCCCTAATGATGTGCGCAGAAGAATTCTCGCAAAAGCAGGAACTACTTCCCTTGACAAGCTAACATTAAGCAAAACCACCCCTTTGACCGCAACCTGAATTAATCGGCACAAGAAACAATCCCAATAGGGTCAGCAAGAAAGTTGGAGGAGTCAGTCAAACTGGAGGAGTCAGTCAAACTTGAAATCGACGCACTTTTATGGCGCTGTTTGATGTTTGTATTCTTTGCGCAGCTTTCATAGCAAGTAGACCTCCATCATCATGACCGACAAGTACTACGGAAGAGAACCCCATCTCATGACAGAAAGAGAGAAGCAAATCCACCTGGAAATCATTGAATTTAAGATTCATACTCGAGATGAAGTCTTGAAAAGCACTAATATTATCTCGCAAAGGTCAGAAAAGAAAATAACCTGACTTTCAAGTGTGTAAGGATTGGGCAACTCCCTCTCTTCCCAATCCTTCTTGTACAGCCTGGCAGTTAATCCCCAACCAGGCCTATCAAATGCAGCAACAGCACAGCCAAGCTGATGAGCCAGAGACCCCATCACATGTCTCCAAGAAAACACTCCACCACCAAACCCATGAACCAGGACTATACCAAACTGACCATTCCCATCCCAACCTTGCTCCACTGCCCCGCAATTGGAAAGCATCATGTCATTGTCTAGACTCATCCCATCCTGAATTTCTTTCGACATATGAGGAGAAGGAAGAGAACCATCAAGAAGCGGGGCGTGCAAGGAAGAATTGCTAAATTGACTGCTGTAGCTCCGGTGGAGATGATGATGCTGGGTTCTTGTGCTCATACTCGATTCTTTCCTGTCAGGCTTCAACCTTCCTTCCAGTGCCATTGTATCCAGGGTGTTGTACTTACAATTGACTTCATGAGAGGAAGTTGAGGAGATGGACTGAATAGGCAAACCGGGCAAACAAAGCTTGTAATGCACAGTGAGTCCTCGGATCGTAATGAAGAGACTGTCAAGATCAGCAAGCAATCTCACTGGGACCTCTCCTTCATCGTGGGTTGCTGACAGAGGCTTCCACCTCGAATCAGTATCAATCTTGGAGGCCTTCCCCGCTGAGGGAGTTGGAGAACGTGGCGCTTTCTGAAAGCCAGAGAAAACACTTTTACATGCAAGGACCTGCAAAACACCGGAAAGCAAATTTTCATTTGAGGTTAGACAGAAAGGGAAATGCTCCTCTCACAAGCTTCACATGAAAGGGGGAGCAAACTTACAGCTTCAGGGTCCACTCTGTGGTACAAAAGTTTCCTCCTTGCTCTGCAACTAGTTCTATATGCTACAACTGTATGTCCGAGGGCAAAAACCACAGAAGAGAGGAACAAAACCGGCATTCCCCATGACTTCTTAAGGTGGAGCCGTTTCCTTGACAGAGATAGCGAAGCTTCAGCCTCAAGTTGAGAATGTACAGTGAAGACGCAAGCTTTAACTGAAAGAAGAAGAATCGAAACTACAGAACACAGCGATACAGCTCCCAGATAAGGGCCGTGCGAGAGAGCAGGACCATCGGATAGCGAATAGATACCTGTTTCAGGGATGGAGCCAATAGTGAGCTTATAAACGATATAGGGTAATCACGAATTGACATGGTTTACATGAGAAAGTTTCAGACAGCCAAAACGCCAAACACTCTTTATCACATTGCATTTTAACCAGAAAAATAGTCACTTCAAATCAACTGATGCAAATGCCTAAGAACAAATCTGCGCTAAAGAAACAGCTTCATGCCCTCTTTAGGATCCCATTGTCCGTAAAAAGCAAATCACAAAGATTCGAAATCTAAACAAGAACACGATAACACAGTAACAAGTCCTGCAAAACTCGTTGAGAGAGAGAAAAGGAATGTGAAATGCCCGTACAGATGACTAGGAAAGATCTGACGACGGAGACGAGAGGTATATCAGTCAAAGAGCTCTTCAATCCGTATCGATGCAGATGCTCCCTCACGCTGTAGCAAGTTAAGCACGTAAAGCTCGACAACAGGAAGCTCGGAACGAGCACGTCTCCAATGGCGACAAGCATTGGCAACGACGACACCAAAAGTGAGGTCACCATCGCCACCATGAAAAAAACCGTCCTTGCGCATCTTCTCGTCTTCTCCACGACAAACCACCCTTTGCCCATTGTGGTAGACGACCCAGGCCTCCAATCGGATGGCTACAAATCCTGCGACTCAAATCCGGCGTTACCGTTTCCGGCGTGTCTCTCACAACCACCGGCCTGACGGAAGGCTTGTCCGGATTCTACACGATTGATCGGATAAACCAACGAGTCCAGATCCTTCCTTTGGCTGTCTTAGGTGGGAGTTGAAACCCTAGCGAGAAGAAACAGAAACGACCAAGAATCCGCCGACTGTGGAGGATTTTGCGGCGCATGTGGCGGATGGGCCATCTCCTGGCGGCGGAGAACGACGGCGATTCCACTCCCTTTCACAACGGGAACAATCAAAGATCACCACGAAAAGCCATTGCTACGATTCTGATTGAAGATCGTACAGATATATTTCAGAATCGCAGGAAAGGCAAAAGAACAAAAGAAAAACGCTTTGAGCTTTTCCGAAAACCAAAAATCTCCGGTTTCTTTTTTTTTTTGGGTCATTCATAGTTTAAACGTATAAAATTATATTAGAAAACAATTAAACAGAGAGTCAATTAATTAATTATTGTGTTTACGAATAAATCAATGATTAAAAAAGGGACAAACCTGCTTCAGTCAGACATGCCAGAGCTTTTTATTGGACGATTCTACCCCTTGTTTCAAAATAAAGAAACTATAATATTAAAATATTTGGAAAATGTACCACCACGCCGAAACAGAATTTTTTTCCTCCCCGAGAAAGTCGTACTGTTTCTTGTTCTATTAGTTTTAGTTTTGAAAATTAAAGATGGAAATATTATTATTATAAATTATTTAAATGTTAATTCATTGTATAATTATATTTCTAATTATAATAACACTCCAAAATAACACATATATATATGTATATATGATACGGAGAAACTAGATTGGTGTATTGGGAGTTTGTTCTCTGACGAAGTTGAAAAAAAGAAACAGTATAAAATGACGGTTATGGCCTCCAGTGAGAAATAAAGTGGCTTTGTAGATTCGCTGAGTTGGCAGTCCGGTCGGGTCGGCTTGGATCGGGTCGGGTGGTTTTGTGGACCGTTAACTTTTAGGCTGTGGCCTCGCCCCACGGACCCACAATTTTATAAAAACGCAATGTATCGGATGTCCCCAAAGGGACCACATGTATTTTTATAAGTGATTCTATTTTCTAGAATTGATATTTTTGCACACCCGATTAATATTTATTCAGTTTAAATTGTTCAAAACAAATTAATTTTAAATTTATTATATTTGATATCTTACATTTATGAATATTTGTTACAAAGATCATATTTATTTAATGTGACAATGACTCTTTTGATTGTAGATAAATTATAATAAAACTATTAAAAAACATTTTTCATATTTGTTGAATTAATATTTTAACATTTAAAAATTTTTAGTTAATTTTATAAATTGATTTAGTTTAACATTTAAAATTTTAAATATATTATTATCTATCTAAAAGTATTAAAAATATCAGTCAGTACCTAAAAATATTAAATGTTGTTAACAATTTATTACTATATATTCTATCTATATAAATCCATCTCAATCTTTAAATTCAATTGTTTAAAAAAAATCATACACTCCTTCAATTATCTACATCCAAAATCATATTTATGATTTATTTAAATGATTAATTGATATGTTTATATTATTGATATTATCTATATCATATAGATTAATTTATAGATGTTTAAAATTTATTCAATTCGTAAAGCGCCTGAAAATATGAGCAGATGCAAATATGTATGCGCGTGCATAACGTAATATAGACATGTTTATGCGTGTGTCCAAAGATGAAGTATTGGGCATGTGCGAAGTTGGGCTTTATTGACAATAAGTCCATTGGGCTTTATTAACAAGGCATTGACCTAAATGGGCTCTTAATATATGGGCCTTCATTTCTTTGCAACCTAAAATTGAGGCCCATTAAACTCTCGTAGAGGGATTCTATGGATATCAATCACAATGATTTCATTAGAATCTGGCCATCATTTTTTTTTTAATCAGGCGTAGCGGAATCACGACCGTCGGAACTTCCAAGGAAGACGAGAGACAACAAATATCCGCAGGAAAGAGACAGAAGGACAACAGGCAAGGATGAAGGATCTGACGTGACGGACTGCATCCTATCCCCCGAGGTCCTTTAATCCTTTGCCACGTGGATACTGTAATGACCGTCGGATTATAACGAACGATTTGCACGTCTTTTTTTTAAATGGGGAGAAGTATTATTTTTTTTTTTTTTATAATATGTGATTTGATAAAGATCGAGTTCGAATCTGGGTGGAACACTCTTTGCGCATACTCATTTACTATTTGAGCCAACCACTCTTGGCGAAGTATTATTATTTTCAAACTATTATTTATATATATATATATATATATATATATTATACAATACTACTTACACGGTGTTATAGAGGATGTTTGTAGTAACTTTCAGATATTTGGATTCGATTCTTGATACCATTTGTTTTTATAATAGGGTGATAAATAACGAGATCTGTATAAGGTCCATACATATATATGTAACATTATTATATAATAAGTTAAAAAACATTATTATATAATAAGTATATGGAAATGATACTGCATGTCTTCATCGGGATATACTTTTAGTTGGTCCCTTTTGAATATGACATGATGAAAAAGTTGGGAACTAAGGCAGACATTTTCGGAAAACGGTTCGGGTTTGGGATGGAAATGGATCGGTTCGGTTCTTTCGATTTTACAAAAATAGGTACCAATCGGTTTTTATATTGTGTTCGGTTCGGTTCGGTTTCGATATCGGTTCGGTTTGGTTCCGGATTTTTTTAAAAAAAGATAGATTTCCTTTAAAAATATTCGGTTTTCGGAATTTTTTAAAGTTCGGTTTGGTTCGGAGAAAATTCGGTTCTCTCAAAATAATACCGTTCGAAAATTGAGAATGATTTTGGGTCGAAAAAAATATCATTTTTTTCGGTTTGGTTCGGTCCGGTTTCGAAGAACCGAATCGAAACGTCCACGCCTATTGAGAACGTACAATGAAAAGTAAAAAGTGCCGAACTTATATGAAAATGAAACAAATATATAGGTTTTTATTTGGCTCCCCATTTTGGACCATCCAAATTCATGTTCCTAGCATAACCAGATTTTGACCAAAATTTCGGAACGTGGTTATCATGGATGAGTGTCGATGACCTGCATTGATGGTTTTATAATGATATACAAATACAAGTAATTTATAATAGTTATAAAAAAAATAATAAATAGATATTTCTGCAAGTTAAATTTATTTAATCACTGATATCGGGCTCTACAAACTTCTCAAAATTACAATACCATTGTAATTATAATTAAGTACGGATATATGCGGTTTGGTATATAAAATCCAAAACTTGTATATAAAAAATTAACTGGAGTCTAACCAAAATTCAATTAATATAATTTGTATAAAATCGAAAAAAGGAATTATAAAACAAAGCATGACGTCAAAATGTCAACCAATAATAACGTACCAACTTAGAGAAACAAATAAAGAAAAGATTAAAATAACCTAACTCACACGTGATTTAAATTTTGGTACAATAATCGCCACCAACTTAACAGATGAAACAGAGGAGTATCAAATTTTAATATCTGAAGGGTATTACAGTCATTTGAATAATATTCCAAGGGCAAATCCGGAATTTACTCTTACAACCCTCGGGTTTTTTTTTTTTTTGGGAGAAGAACGTTCCTCTGTTTTGCGCTGCCATTAAAAAGCTCGCCGTCATCTTTTCGGCGAAAGCATTTATTTATTTATTTTAATTTCACATATTAGCTTTGAGCATTAAATTGTGAGAGTGTCATTAGGGTTTTCCAGGGAAAATTTTTATTCTTCTGTTACGTCAGCAAAAGATTCCTGCCTTTTGAGATATTATCACCGCCCTTTTTAGTAATAATATCTCTTTGGTGAATGCTATCTTCTTCTCTGTCCAGCGAGCCACCCTTATCATCTCTCTATCGCCTCCTTTTTCTTCTTCCATTTCTCTCCGTAGAGTCCGCTCTTTAGGAATCCTTGGGGAGGGAGAGAAAGTGAGAGCGAGATAGAGAGATGGAGGCTGTGATACAGACCAGGGGAATTCTCTCTTTACCGGCGAAACCCACCGGTGGTAGAGGTTTTCTTCAGCCCTCTCGTGGCTTGAAACAGAGAATTTTCGCCTCCAAGCCCAGAACTCTACCTGGGTTGTCGCTATCTTCCAATGGGCACAAGAAATTTCAGACCTTTGAGTCAACCCCACACCGGATTTCGGTTTCTCACAAGGAGAGAAGCTGTGGGTTCATCTGCAAGGCGGAGGCGGCGGCCGCCGGCGATTTGCCGGTGTTCGGAGAAGGGGATACCGCGGCGGTGGCAGCGACGCCTAAGATATTTGGTGTCGAGGTTGCGACCCTGAAGAAGATTATCCCGTTAGGGTTGATGTTCTTCTGCATTCTTTTCAATTACACAATCCTTAGGGACACTAAGGATGTATTGGTGGTGACAGCGAAGGGAAGTTCCGCTGAGATTATACCCTTTTTGAAGACATGGGTTAATCTTCCAATGGCCGTTGGGTTCATGTTGTTGTACACGAAACTCGCCAACGTTTTGTCCAAAGACGCTCTCTTTTACACCGTCATTTTCCCGTTTATTGCATTCTTTGGGGCATTTGGTTTCTTGATGTACCCTCTCAGTAGCATTATTCACCCCGAAGCTCTAGCTGATAAACTCTTGGCGGTCCTCGGCCCCAGATTTATGGGTCCTCTTGCAATTCTGAGGATTTGGAGTTTCTGTTTGTTCTATGTCATGGCTGAACTCTGGGGTAGTGTGGTGGTTTCTGTTCTTTTCTGGGGCTTTGCTAATCAGGTAATTGAACTGGCCTTTTAGTCTGAAAGATTATTACATCTTTGGTGCTGATTTTACTGGTATTTTGTGTTGATTCTGATTTGAATGTGTGCCTCTGTGCTTTAGATTATGATTTGACTGTCCATGGCTTGTTTTGAACCCTTGAGTTGTCACTAAGATACCATATTGTCTAGTCTGGTGACATGCACATATCATTGTCATAGTATCCCTTTTTTATCATGTCATTTACTTTTTGAATATTTGGAGACTGATATGTATGGCTTTGGATGGAATATTGTGTGGTTTTCTCGTACAAGGCATCAGATTGTGTTACTTTTACCTAACCTTGAAGTTTAACACAAGGAGAAACTTTTGTCTTCCGTCTTGTATGCTATCCTCCTCAGTCGGAGCTGGTTCTATTGGTGAATTAACTGCCCATTTGATTGTTATTGCAGATTACAACGATCGATGAGGCCAAGAAATTCTATCCTTTGTTTGGGCTTGGGGCCAATGTTGCTCTGATTTTCTCGGGACGGACGGTGAAGTACTTCTCTAACATGAGGAAGAATCTCGGTCCTGGAGTTGATGGTTGGGCCGTTTCGTTGAAAGCCATGATGAGCATTGTGGTCGGCATGGGGCTTGCCATCTGTTTTCTGTACTGGTGGGTGAATAAAAACGCTTCTCTCCCAACCCGCAGCAAGAAGAAGAAGGTAGACTTCTGTCTTTTTTCCCCTCTCCCACTGCTTTACATGCATTACTACTGCTTCGATTTTTTCGTTCACTCCATGAGTTCAGCTTAAGACCTTTGAGAGTGAATATGTAAAAGCTGGACATGCACATGTATATATATATATATATGCGCTATGGAATTGATCTGTTGCATAAGAGCATTGTTATTTTATACATTCAAGATTCTTCTGATCTGTTCATTCCGTGTTTCTGAAATTTTTTTTACAGGAGAAGCCGAAGATGGGAACAATGGAGAGCTTGAAGTTCTTGGTGTCGTCGCCGTACATCAGGAATCTTGCAACGTTAGTGGTTGCTTACGGTATTAGCATCAACCTCGTTGAAGTCACGTGGAAATCGAAGCTCAAAGCTCAGGTAATAAAATACCAAACCTTGAACTCGATTCTTTGGGTTCTAACATTACATATCAACACAGCATTCGCTCTAGACCCTGACAATCTCTCCGTGTTTTTATAGTTCCCCAGCCCTAACGAGTACTCCGCATTCATGGGCGACTTTTCAACCTGCACGGGAATAGTGACGTTCTCGATGATGCTTCTCAGCCAATACATATTCGAGAAGTACGGCTGGGGAGTTGCTGCCAAGATTACACCGACTGTATTGCTCTTGACCGGCGTTGCCTTCTTCTCTCTGATATTGTTTGGCGGCCCGATCGCTCCAGTGCTTGCCAAGTTTGGAATGACGCCTCTTCTTGCAGCTGTGTATGTCGGCGCCATGCAGAATATCTTCAGCAAGAGCGCTAAGTACAGTTTGTTCGATCCTTGCAAAGAAATGGCTTACATCCCATTGGATGAGGACACTAAGGTCAGTGTCTTCGCTCTTCTCTCTCCTGTCTTGTCTGAGAAAAATCTGAAATGCTTTTGTTCTTTGGCGTTTACGTGTTTTAAGCCGTTTTTTTTTTGCCCTTGCAGGTGAAAGGGAAAGCCGCCATTGATGTGGTCTGCAATCCGTTGGGGAAATCTGGAGGTGCCCTGATACAGCAGTTCATGATCTTATCCTTCGGGTCACTGGCTAACTCGACGCCTTACCTCGGAGTCATCCTGCTGGGTATTGTGACCGCATGGTTAGCCGCTGCTAAGTCGCTGGAGACTCAGTTCAACACATTGCGGTCTGAGGAAGAGCTCGAGAAGGAAATGGAGAGAGCGTCTTCGGTCAAGATTCCCGTAGTTTCTCGGGAGGACGGTGGGAATGGTTCCCTCATGGCACCGGAAGGATCTTCTCCGAGCGGCAGTTCGCCGGAGAAATCTGCTCCGACCAACATTTAATCCTCGGCTGGATTGTTTCTGTAATGGCGAAGAATCACAGAAGTTTGAGAGAGAGAGAGAGAGAGAGGGAGAGAGATGGCCGGTTAGACCAATCTCTCGAAGCTCTATTGCATCCCTTTTTAGTGTTTCATAACCACCAATAGGAAAACTAAAGCTCAATAAATTTATAAAAAAATTTTGTTAATCTTCAGTTTGGTTTTTGCTTCGTTTTCATTTGTTGATAGACAGAAAGATGTCATTACAGCTTCAAGTAAAAACATTAGATGACATAATGAGATATATCAACTATATTTCATCCAAATTTTTAAATATTTATTAATCAAGGGAACTTGTATAGTATATACAACGTGGACGCTTCGAGATTCGATTTAAAATTTTAACGATTCGGTTCGGGACCGTTTTTTTTATATTCTAAAATTTATACCAAATTAGTACCGTATATTATTCAGTTTCAGTTTTAGTACGGTTCGATTTCGGTTTTTGTTAAATTTTTTTCCGTGAATTTTATAAAGTTTGCTCGGTTCATTTCGTTTTTTTTTTTAGAAATTCGGTTCTATAAAAAATCTACCGTTCGAAATTTTTGAATGGTACCTGCATTTTGGTTTCGGTTCGATTCTTTCGCCCACCCCTAACAATCAAGACGACCCTCATGTGCAGTGATCGTATAATAATAAATCAAACCATACGAAAGTTTCCATGCATTGATCTTCGAATATCAAAAAGCTTTTATATTCTACAATGTCCGAAGACATTCCATTCAAACCCTAATGATATTTATCTTTTAATTTATGACAAAACTACCCCTTCAGCTTCTTTTTTCTTGTTCTTGAAGCTAAGAACCCTTTACTGCTCACCAATGGCGATTCTGATGCAGCTTCTCCACCTCGATCTGGCAGGTTGACGATGACAACATGTTTTTCTCTACCGTGATTGGAAATTGAAAGTTTTAATGCCCACCGCAAATATTACTGCGAATAATAACGGGAAGGCGAGATTCACGACGGCGACTACTCCCAAGAAGTCGTGTCTGAATCCGTAATAGCCTCTCACGAATTGTTTCACCGTCGCCCCTTCTGCCATCATATCATCGACATCTCCGAATTGGGATGTGATTAGTCCGTACAGTGTCCATGAAACCGGACACATCCAGTAGTACCATCTCCACCACACAGGTATACTCTGTAACGATATAGATGGGAATTCAGTGGCGAATCGGTAGTAACAAGGAAGTTTAACGGTCTATTCTACAATTAAGGAAAGATGGCTTACAGGTCGTGGGACGATGAAGCCGGAGAAGAGGTTCCAAAGGGCGTAGAAGGCGGAGGAGACAACGGCGGCGATGTGGTGATTCGGCGTCATGGCTACCGCCATCATTCCGTAGAAGGTGAAGGTCAAGAGCGATGTGCACATGAAGAATAGGTACCAGAAGAATTTTGCCGCCGTCCACTCGAATCCCATCATCGAGTAAACTATCAGTCCGTACGCCACCGTTTGCACTAGCACGTACGGTATCTCGATCAAGACCTGAGAAATTGACATTGAAAGTTGATGAATTTCGTGAATTCCCTTCGTAGGTATGTCGAAAGCTCGTGACTTTTTTTCAAATTTTCAGCGAGATTCACGCACACAGTGATGTTTTGCTTTCTGGGTCGGTGGAATACGTACCTGAGCGAAGGCATAGGGCATGGCGGAGTACATTCCGGCAGCTTTTTCTCGGTAAAACACAGTTCTCTCGACGGCGACGACAGGCTGTACGGAGGCGGCGTTCTGGAGGCCGAGGAAGAGAACAGCTGTGTACATGGAGCCCATTGCGTTGAACAGATCTTGACGCTTTGTCCTGCAAGTAATCGAGACATTTATCAAGAAGAATGTCTTTCTGAACAGGAAACCGTGAGATTTACCATCTGGGTGGTCTTTTCCAGGTTCTCTCACGTTTTGCCTCCGAGGTCCCAGAACATGGTGCCGAACATGACAGCGATGCCAACCGTGAAGAGAAATCTGACGGAGGTATACGGCGGGTTTCTCCAGTAGGACCAGTGTTGCTTCCACAGCGAAGCCATGCATTGCGTCATGAACGATTGTGCGTATTGCGTTGGGAAATACAGATCTTTTGATGCAGGAGCTGGTTGGCTCAGCTCCTTGATAATCTCCTTGTTTCTTCTGCAATTCACAAACATCTTTCGGAGTTATGTTATGTTCCTGAAAACCTCAAATCGGTTGGAGCAGAGTCACTTGTGCCTTTCACCTGTAAAGTTCTGAGTTCTTGTATATTTCGGTGAAGTTCATCCCCAGAGCTATTTCCTGTGCAATGTTTGAAACTTCAAGCATCCATGTCGCAGGGTTGTACCCATCTTTGATCTTGCTAATTCCTTGAATACCCTGTTTCGGAAAACGAAATTTTCAGATCAGAACAGTTGTATCTTATGGCGAGGATGAATGCTGTCATATACCTCGAAGTAGTTTATCAGATGAGTTGAATGGTGGCCGAGAGGTCCAACATAGATCTCTTCACCTCCGCGCTTCAGCAAGAACAACTTGCATATACAAGCGGGTAAAAAGATATAAACTTTGATCAGTCTTGGAATCTAACTGATGGTGGTTTTGGTTTTTTCATCTGTGTTTTTTGAAAAGGGTTCTCACTCAATACCTCGTCGAAAGCTTCAAATATGTCGATGCTGGGCTGGTGAATGGTGCAGACAACGGTTCTGCCTGTGTCAACCGTGTTTCTTACGGTCCTCATTACGATAGCTGCAGCTCTTGCATCGAGTCCTGAAGTGGGTTCATCCATGAATATGATGGAAGGGTTAGCTACCAGCTCTACGGCTATGGTCAGTCTCTTCCGCTGCTCAGTGGACAGACCGTTCACCCCAGGTAACCCCACCAGCGCTTGCCTTAACGGTGTCAGTTCCACGAGCTCCATCACTTCTTCTATGAACATCTGCTCGAAAAAACAAAAACGTTTCAGAATGGGGGTTAGTGCGCCGATTCCTGATTTGGCTGGCTCACGAGACGAGCATTTGTTCAGAATGTTTTGAATCACCTTCCGTTTTTCTGAGTCGACCTCTTTCGGCAATCGAAGCCAGGCTGAGTAAAGCAGGGATTCATAGACCGTGACATGAGGGGAATGGATATCGGTTTGTTCACAGTATCCGGAGATCCGGGCAAAGGTTTCTTGCTTCTTAGGGTAACCCGAGATCGTGATGTTGCCGTCGATGTAACCACCGGTCTTTCTTCCGGCTAATACATCCATCAGAGTGGTTTTCCCGGCACCGGATACGCCCATGAGAGCCGTTAGCACTCCCGGTCTGAACGCTCCGCTCACACCCTTTAACAGAACAAGCCTGTCTTCTCCGACACCTCGCTCTTTCATTTCCTACAAGCTCTACGGTTTCAAGATCCAAGATTCGGAATCTTAACAGGTCGGAAAAAAAAAGTCTGAAACTTTTACCTGCGGCATATCGACTGAGTAAGTAACATTATCAAAGGTGAGGGAATGTGGCTCGAATGGGAGCACCATCCCTCTTTTCCTGTTTCCGTTTCCTTCAGCTCCAACCCGAAGCTCCGTTTCATTTCCGGGATCGTTCCCACCACTCGCGTGTTCTTCTGGTAAGATAGCTTGAGGCTTCCCAATTGCTATTTGTGGGAAATCAAAAAGAAAGTTTTGAAGGAAACAATCTCAAGAGATTCTGAGAAGATGAAGTGCGTTTTTCCCGGAAAAAACGTACCGTTTAGAAAGGTGATGGACAAAGCGAAGCAGAAGTTGAACAGCAAAGTGAAGCCGACTGTGGCCGCAACTCCAATCCAGTACCAGTAAGCATGGGCGAAGAATCCACGAGATTTCAAGATCGTAACTCCCAATGACTCGGCGGAATTCGGAGCAAGCTTTTCGACAGAAGAGAGATCTCTCGGTTAGTTTTCGGATCATGAAAAAAAAAATACGATTTCAGAATTCCGTCATTGAAATACAGTTTGTACTTACTCGACTCCAGCTGTGGCCGAGAAACTCGTTGGCCACGATCGCGTTCTGTCCATACATCATGGGAGATATCCAGTACCCCCATATCCACCATTTCTTGATATCATCTGTTTAACATTTCACTGAAAATGTAACGTCCTGATCTCTTCTCATATGATACATTACGTACCGATCTCGTATATTTACCTCGTGACAGTACCATGCCGCCCAACGCGAAGAACACTAGCAAGGCAAACGAGCCGAACGTGTTGGCGACGATCATGTTCCTCCCCACTCCAGCAATGAACTTGAACAACCCGGAAGCCATCTGGTTTACGAGCACAAGCAGAAGGTACTGCTTGAAAACCCTGTTGCGATCAGTGGGTAAGGATCTTTCGGACAAGACAAAAGTGATAATGTTTGCTCTTTCTTTTTCAGTTGATGGGTTCTTACCTTCCGACGTTAGGATCAAAGCCCACGACGTAATAAGTGGTGGAAACCGTAATGGCTGCTTCGATGAAGCTGATAGGTACCTTGAGCAGCCATGGAGGAAGAGAGTAGACCCATGCGGGGTAGAACAGAAGGTCTCGTTGCTTGTAGAACACCGGAAGTTTCGCGATGGTCATTGAAAGTTCAGACATGCCATTGAACATCAACATCGTAAGGATGAAGAACAGAGCTCCTTGGTAAACAGTCCCATCCAGTATATTCCTCTTATGCATCTCGGTTCGGAAGAAGAGTGTCAACGTGAGAAACGACATTACGAAAAGCTGCAAGAGAATCGCGTAAAATCCAGACATTGAGATTCTTCTGAGAATACAGAGAATTTGCATATGGAAGTGATGTTTTTTTTGGAGAAACATACTTGTCCGAATTTGAAGTAGTAGACGAAAGAGTTCCGTTTCATGAGCAAGTACTCTCTCGAGAAGTTGGCTTTGAGAAGTTCTTTCGGCCCTACTCCATATTTCTCGGTGGTAAGAGCGGCTGGGTGGCTCTTCGTCTTGTCGAACGGTAACCCTAATTCATCCCCGAGACTCTGCCCGACATGGAAAGACTGAAACGCTTCTGCAAACTCCTCCACTGTTATAAACCTATACGCCTCTTCAGGCCGTGCCCAGTACTGCATCTGGTCTTTCCTCGAGGTCACCTGCAGAGAAATAAACACGAAAAAGAACGAGAAGATCATTGCCAAGGCATGTTTGAGTTTGATTATGTGCATATTGCAGGAGAAATTCTTTCCAGAATCTTACTTCTTGGAGAAAATCGGCGACACCCTTTCTCTGAGGACACTTGAAACCGACGGACTGAAAGAACTCCAAGACATGGTCCCGAGGGCCTTCGTAAACTATGTGACCATCTGAGATGAGAATGATATCGTCGAAGAGATCATAGGTCTCGGGTGCAGGCTGAAGCAACGAGATAACAGCTGTTCCGTTGAAGATATGGATGTAGTTTCTGATGGAATTCACGATCTGATACGTCGTAGAACTGTCTAGACCCGTCGATATTTCGTCCATGAACAACGCTCCCGCGGGTCCAACCAACATCTCGCCTATACTTACACACACATTCAGAACCCGTATCAAACCCGAATATATATTCTTTTAGACGAAAAAAATGTTTTGTTGATTCTTTTGTGTGTGTTACCTGTCGTGACACGCTTCTTCTGCCCTCCCGAAATCCCTCTTAACATTTCGTCTCCGACCAGTGTGTCAGCACATACCTCTAGTCCTAATACCTGGGAAAAAAACATGAACAGTTCGATTTGTTCGGGATTAAAGCTTCGATAATTCTCAGAAACCTTGCTTTAGCATGTACAGATGCACGATATATACATACATACATACATATATATATATACACACACACTAATCAACAATACCTTGAGCATATAGTCTGTAATGACACTTGCTTCCTGACCCTCCATTGATATGGCCTAATCATCCAAGAGCACGAATAATTACGCTAAGCTCATATAGATTAATTCTGCAGATGCAGGAGTAGAGTTTTGATGTGTCAAACCTTCATAAAGACATCGATGTCGGGGTCCGGCTTTACATTAGCCTGTTTCTCTCTTCTCGACAGTTCGGCCAACATATCTGGGTAGTTCCAATGGCCAAGGAACAGCTTTTCAATAAGAAAAGGAAGAAGAAAAAAAACAGGAAACGTATGTGTCTGAAGATGAAACCGGGAAATAGGAACTGACCATAGCGAGAGCCGACTCCTTGGCAGCGAGCAGCGAAAGCAAAGGTCTCACGGACGGTCATTTCGCCGATGTGAGTGTCGTGTTGGCTTATATATGCTGCCGTCCTCTGTGGCACAAACTCGTTCATTCCGTGCCCGTTGTACGTCACGTTCCCAGTTTGCTACAGGGCAGAGGAAAAATCAAATCTTTTTTAATCTGGTCTCTAGATTTTTCATCAAAGGCTGAATCTTTAGATCTATGATGCCCATATCCATATGAACGAGTCTCTGTCAGCCATGGAGGGGGAGAGAGAGAGAGAGAGAACCTTCAGTTCAGAACCAAGCTTTCCCGCCAAGGCAAGCAAAAGAGTCGTCTTCCCAGAACTTGGAGGACCCAAGAGCAGAGTCATCCTGTTGTCAGTTTTTAATCATATTTTAAATCGGCATTCAACAAATTAATTAGAATATAACATAAGGTTTTTATGTAAAATAAACAGATTTTTGAAATCACCTGCTAGGTTTGATGATTCCGCTGACGTCTTTTAGTATGGTTAACTTTTTCTTTCGACTCGGAAGGATATGCAGATTATTCAGAAACCCCTTTTAAATTACAAAAAAACAGGTAATTAAACACTGTTAGGGTTTTATTCTTTAGATAGTATAATTATATAAAGAAAAAAATATACCTCGGCGATGTTGGAGATGAAATTAACGAACGTGGGTAAAGCTCTGCCTCCGACATGAGCCTCTGCTTCTACTGTCAGATGCTCGAATCGAACTTCTATTGTCGGAACTTCGATTCCGACGCTGTTATTACATAACCAGAACCCAAAAAAAAAATGTTAGAAAAAACGAGAAAAGGCTTCTGAAAGATGGGGATAAACAGAGCACGAAACAGGGACTGACTTTCTTTCTTTTTTTCCCGAGAAACAAACAGAAAATCGAGCCAAAAGGGAATTGAAGAAAAAGAAATCAGACAACTTTACACCTATCGATGCGATCCCTGAGTTTCTGGAGGAGCTTCTGGTGGTCTTCGTCGCCGGCTTTCATGAGCCTCTCGAGCAGTTTCTTCTTTTCTTGGAACCCAAGGTTGTGAATATCGACCTCGCTGACTCCGCCGCCGTGGGAGGCCGTTAAAATTCCTTTCCTGAGTCTGTCGACCGTCGGAAGCCTCTCGAGAGCAGCCCATCTTAGAGCTTCCTCGTCGTTTTCTTCCCGAACCGATCTTGAGAAAGCCTCCATCCCTGTATCTCTCCTCCACCTTGAAGAGTTTCTCCTCATGCTGCTACTTGCTTTCTGAAGACTAGTACCCTCCATCGCTAAAATTTTCCAGGAAAACTGGAACCCAGCAAAGATTTTCCTGGAAAACTGAAGCCCAGAGATGTTTTTTTTTTCTGTTTCTGGTGGGTTCGTGTCAGATGAAAAAAAAAGGGAAATTTCGATGAGAAATGAAAGAAATGTGGACGTTCTCGCACGGATATAAATAAACAAGGAAGAACACGTTCATCATGCATGCACATGTACGTGTTACATAAGGAATCGAAAATGGTTGGGGTGGGGCCTCTAGAAGCGATGCTTAAACAATGTTATTTCGTAATAACAATAATAATAACAATGATATTTCTGATTATATGCCAAATCAAAATAAGCCATGGTGGACAAACCAAGCCCTAATTAAATGATTCTCTAACTAATACATGCTTTGCTGGTTGTGACTTCTAGATAGAAAAATTGCCCTTTTCCCCTTTTCCGTGTCGAATATGTATAGATTAAGGTTTCTTAAGGCAGGCGGAATTTAATTATCGAAAATGATTTGTTTGACCGAACTACTTGTGGTTGGATCAGTTCGTACATGTCAATTCTGTAAAATATATTAAATTTTCAAGTTCAAACTGCAATTTATGATATTTGATAAATAAAAAAACAAATATAATATTAATGGAAATATAATATATAATGCGCCATGTCTATTAGTTTTTTTTAAAAAATTATTACTTGCAGGAAAAAAAAGGAATAAATAAAAAAAACAAAAATCCTATGCGCAAAGGATGTGTCGAGCTGTCGGTCCATAAGGATATTTTGGTAATTTGCTTATAGACTGACATCAACCAGTCCTGCAGCAAGCAACCCCCCAAATTTTATATTTATATAATATTGCGAGAAAGTTTCATTAATATATTTCCCCGCCATAAAAATCATTTAGTTCGTGCCAAATGAAAAAAAAATTATTTAGTTGGTTGGTTATATAGAAGATTCCAATATTATTGAATATCACGTTCTGCCGTCATATGTATCAGTAAAAGAATTGAGGAGGCATTATGTGATAATATATAATTTAGAATCTTAAATGAATTAAAATAACCGTATTTTTCACATGTCAAAAATGATATTAAATTCATTGAATTAGAGCCTGGCGTTACAAAATGAAGAGATTTATGAACTGAAGCAACTCGCTGTCAACCGAAAACTATTTAATATAGGGAAGGTCAAAAAGTCAAAGTGGGGAGAGAGACAACGTGGGAAATGTCTCTCTCCTCCCCTTCTTCCCCATGGGCCATGGGTATTCATTCATTCAGCTTTGGTGAAGCCTAATCCAACGGCCAAAATATCTAAAATATCCTCGCTAAAACTATTTCTACACATATCTTCCTCCAGTTGTGATCTTATGATCAGAATAATTGTATAGTCACATGATGATCATATTGGTCACAACGTTAGATTTTTGATGATTTTACCAAATGATTAGTGAGATATGTAAGGTATGACCATGGTGATTTGATGTAATCACCATAAATTTAACGTTATGACCAATATGATCATCATGTGACCATACATAAATTCTGGTCATAAGGTCACAACTGGAGAAGAATATATGGAGAAGTAGTTTTAGGAAAATGAGGATATTTTGGATAATGCCCCGAATCCAACGCCGGTTGGTTATTCCAAAATTACTAAAATTCGATATATTTTTTACATGGGCCATGTGCATATTTAAGCACTTATATAGTTTATATAAAATTCAAATTTTCAATGATAGTTTTTGGTAAATTCATCAAATTCTGATATCCGGTCCATTACTATTTTATCCATAAACCATGGGAAATGCGCCATATACAAGATGAGCTATATGTGATTCCTCAACCATCATCTCCGAGATGCATGTAAATATGTTCCCGACCGAACCATGTACCATAATTTAAGGTTGCCCGACAATTTGAGAGTTTGGATTATGTTCTTGCCCACCGTCTCCTAATATGTGTTTTTTTTTTCAATTATGGTCGGAAATATATTATATAGTCTGGGTTTGGCATTTTAGGTATACAGTTATGTTTGTGGGCCCAATTGTGGTCCAATCACAAAAAAAAAAATTGGAATATGCAATATATAATTGCGAATGCTTTTCAAAGGCATATCACATTTGCCCGATATCCTCAAGTATATAACTGATTGCATTCAAATATATAATTGAATGTATATTGATCGATTTCATTCACGTAAATTCGTCTCATTATTTTTGGATGATATTCAAGCTTGCATTCAATTAGAGTATTTAATAACGTTGTTGGCCTATGTGCCCGTTCCCGTTCCCCAACTTCTAATGCTCAAAATCTTCAATTTAACAGGACCTATATAAATATATGAAAAAATTTAATTCAATGAAAAATATTTAAATTTCAGGATACCTTTCAAAATCAATACAAAAGAGACGAGGATTTAAATTGCCGTTAAGTATTGGTGACATGATTTTTGTGCATGTACAGTCATCACTTCGCCACTAGCACATCAACGACATATTTTCCATGTCAACATACTTTTTTAAATTACCATATCATCAATAATATATATATATTTAATGCGGAATACATCATATATGTATGCAGGTATAATGTTATGTTTTTTTTTTTGTTTTAATGTTATGTGAACGTTGTTGGGCGAATATATATATATATATATATTAGACCGCAAAAAGACTGAGATAAGTAATAAATTTAATTAGAGACTTTTTAAAAAAATGGGGTCACATCATACATGATGCCAAAAAAGCATCTATCCATGCGAACTCGTCGTTATACAAAACGGCATTTCTCGGTTAAAGCATATTCGGACCCAGTGTGAATGCATCTCATCCGGTGATGACAATGTGTGTGTGTGTGTATATATATATGGTAACCATAGAGTGCCAAAGGGGGTCAACTAACATCCGACAAGACAAGCCAAGAAATCAAGAAACATCTTGTAATCATGTGAGTTTATATCCTTAATCGCAATGATCCGTTGTTACATATTCTTACATATATCTAATAGTTTGTTGGGGTGGCTAGCAGAGATGGGTTCGAACGAGACTCGGGGACATCCGATCATAAATTTCTCGGACAAGAACATGAAACCGGGAACTGAGATTTGGAGGTGGACGAGGGAGAGAGTCCGAGACGCCATGGAACGGCACGGCTGGTTTGTGGCCGATTGGGACAACTTCCCGGTGGATCTCCACCGTGGGATCATATCGGCCGCCGAAGAACTCCTCGCTCTCCCTTCCGAAGTCAAAATCCAAAACGGCAATCACAAGGCCCGTCATGGCTACGTCACCATGCTCGCCGACGACCAGCCTGTCCACGAGGGCCTTGGGATCGATCTCGTCACGGACTTCGAACAATGCCGCAAGTTTGCAGGTCTCATGTGGCCCGATCATGGAAACGACCGTTTCTGGTAATTATGTAGATATATATTATGACCATTCTTGCTCACTTAGCATATAGTTTATATGAATCGAAACTATATATATGTTTTGGAAAAAAAAATATGTGTACATTGATAACAGTGAGACGGTCCATGCATACGCGAGAATGCAAGCAGAATTGGAGCAAATGGTGGTAAGGATGTTGTTCGAGAGCTATGGACTTGACAGGTATTCGGACAAACACATTGGAGATACGAGGTACCTTCTACGGCTGTTGAAGTACACTAGGCTTCCCAATGGAGATCCCAACAGAAAGTTCATTTCCCATACCGACAAAAGCTTCATCTCCATACTCCATCAGAACGATGTCAAAGGCCTGTCTTTGAAATCCGAGGAAGAAGACGTCTGGTATCCGTTTAGCCCCTCGCCCACAAGATTTGTTGTCATTGCTGGAGATGCCATCATGGTAAGTTAGTTTGATATAGAAAAGTTTTCTAAAAGATTTATCATAATATATCTCTTGATGAATTGCTTCAAAACAATATTGGTAGGTTGATTACTTCAACAATCAACCTATTGATATCGGAAGATCCAAAAGATTCTTTCGATATATCATTTATGGGTCCAATTAAATTCATTAGTACATAGGAAGAAAAACCCGTCAAATAGAGATTGTTTCTTCCGATTATATTTCGATTTTTAATACGACATAGAAGGATCAATACTACAAATACTACTACACCATTGAACTTGACATCGACACCGTATTATGAATCTTCTAGAATACTGTGGCTGATGAGGGATTTGAACCCCGACACCGTATTATGACAATCTTCTAGAATATTCTGAATACGAGCCTAAACAACTCTTTAAACCACTACATAGCAGTATAAACCACATGGATTGATGGTTTTGATGCGTGGGTCAGGCATGGAGCAATGACAAAATCCAAGCATGTTACCACAAAGTAGAGATGGACAGCGAGATTACAAGGTATTCGCTCGGGTTCTTCTCATTCCAGAACGGGACGATATCGACGCCTGATGAACTTGTGGATGACCAACATCCTTTGGCCTATAGGCCCTTTTCACATGACGGACTTCTCAAATTCTACGAGACGTTGGGTGCCCATCTTAAGGCTCATCGTACCATGACCAAAGCCTACTGCGGAATCGAGACAGCCCCTTCTGGCTGATTAGAATCCTACCGATACATGCTACAAACTCTATGTGTATGTTTCGTTAAAATTGTTCAGAGTCGGTCACGATCATGCTCCTTGTCCCCCACAAACATGTACGTTATGTAATAAGTTTTTTTTTTAATTTAAATGTGTGGATCGTGTGAAGAATACTTAATATAAATACTTTAACACGTAAATGCGTAACATAATCGCTACATCAATCATGTATTGACAAAAGGCAGATTGTGGTGGAGCACGCTCAGTAACCGTCCAGACAAGATACGGAGGAGATCGCCGATATTGGCCACGATAGAGTCAGGGATGGGTGGCACGGCGAGCCACCTGAATCCGTCCTTAAAGGCCTGTAGTCCGGCGGCGATGTTTTGGTATAGAATGGTTAGGAGGAGCGTGGAGTCCATATGAGCGGCTAGACCCATTACCCGGTCCGGTTCGGGGCAAACCGGATAGTGGTTAAGCTGTATCGCTGCTTGGGCCCCGTTGAAATACAAATTGAGCCCGATCCATTTGACGTCCTCTTCGGCCACGCCATGGGAACCTAACACCAACCACATCAACTTCGTTGCCAATTTTAACATGTGCTCCTCGTATATGTATTTAGTTAGAGACTTTGAAAAAAAAATTGGGGTCACATCGTACGTGATGCCAAAAAAGCATCTCTCCATACAAACTCATCGTTATGCAAAACGGCATTTTATCGGTTAAAGCATCTTCGGACCGAGTGTGAATGCATCTCGCCTGGTGATGACAATGTTATATATATATATATATATATATACACACACACACATATATATGGAAACCATAGAGTACCAATTTGTCAAAACAAAAACCATAGAGTACCAAGAGGGTCGGTCACTTGTAATCATGTGAGTATATCCTTAATTTCTATTACCCGTATAAATATGTTACATATTCGTACATATCATCTAATAAGTTTTTGTTGCGGTAATTAGTAGAAATGGGTTCGAACGAGACTCGGGAACATCCGATCATAAATTTCTCGGAAAAGAACATGAAACCGGGAACTGAGATTTGGAAGTGGACGAGGGAGAAAGTCCGAGAAGCCATGGAACGGCACGGCTGGTTCGTGGCCGAGTTGGACAACTTTCCGGTGGATCTCCACCGTAAGATCATAACCGTCACCAAAGAACTCCTCGCTCTCCCTCCCGAAGTAAAACTCCAAAACAACAATCACAAGGCTGGTCATGGCTACATCTCCATGCTCGATGACGACCAACCTGTCCACGAGGGCCTTGGCATTGATCTCGTCACTGATTCTGAACAATGCATAAATTTTGCACGTCTCATGTGGCCCAAACTATATATATGTTTTGGAAAAAAAAATATGTGTACATTGATAACAGTGAGACGGTCCATGCATACGCGAGAATGCAAGCAGAATTGGAGCAAATGGTGGTAAGGATGTTGTTCGAGAGCTATGGACTTGACAGGTATTCGGACAAACACATCGGAGAGACGAGGTACCTTCTACGACTGTTGAAGTACACGAGGCTTCCCAATGGAGATCCCAACAGAAAGTTCATTTCCCATACCGACAAAAGCTTCATCTCCATACTCCATCAGAACGATGTCAAAGGTCTGTCTTTGAAATCCGAGGAAGAAGACGTCTGGTATCCGTTTAGCCCCTCGCCCACAAGATTTGTTGTCATCGCCGGAGATGCCATCATGGTAATCTTTTATAATATTCTCTATACGAGTCTAATCAACTATTTAAACCTATGGGTTTGATGCGTGGTCAGGCGTGGAGTAATGACAGAATCCAATCATGTTACCACAAAGTAGAGATGGAAGGCGAGAAGTCGCGGTATTCGCTCGGGTTCTTCTCGTTCCAGAACGGGACGATATCGACGCCTGATGAACTTGTGGACGACCAACATCCTCTGGCCTATAAGCCCTTTTCACATGACGGACTTCTCAAATTCTACGAGACGTTGGATGCTCATCTTAATTCTTAAGGCTCATCGTACCATGACCAAGGCCTACTGCGGAATCGAGACAGCCCCCTCTGTCTGATCTCCCCTTACCAGAATTCTACCAATATATATGCTGTAAACTCTAAGCGTATGTTTCGTTAAAATTGTTCAGAGTCCGCCACGGTCGTGTTGCTTGTCCCCCACAAACATGTACGGTTATGTAATAAGGTTGTTTTTCTACGTGTGGATCGTGTGAAGAATATTTTGGTCGTGGTTTGCAATTGCAAGATTCAGTTTTTTTTTTTTTTGGGTTAAATCAAGAATAATCTCAAACCCTAAAAGTTATTGTATCCCATATTCCTATTAGCTCTTTGCCTTCATTATTGTCCACGTTATTATCATTTTTTGCGGAAGCTAAAAGATTTCAAATCTAAAAAATAGATTCAGATATAAATTTATAGTGATAAATCATGATTCTAAAACCACGTTAAATTCGTAATATGGTACCATGATAAATTACAAAACAATATTCTTGCTATATTTTATTAGTTTATAAATTCTAACTGTTATATAAATATACTCTGCATCCGTATTATCTCATTAGAATCTTTGGGTAAATTAGTGTTGTTATACTTCAATTAAAAAAAAATCACGTTTTGATTCTACAGAAAAAGGATTAGCAGATTTAATTAGAAAATCTCGAATTTTACATATTGTGAATGGTTAAAAAATATTTGTTGATTGTCACCGTTAAATTATTTTTTCGATTACAAAATTACACATCAATCCGGTTTGACATCCAAATTCATTATATTTGGATTCTCTTAATTATTTAATTATTTTTCTATTAAAATGGATTTATTTAATTTGATTTAAAAAAGTTATATCTAATCAATACTTAAATGGAATTTAATTTAGAAGAAGTCATATGTTATAGCTTTGGCTTTGGTGTTGCATATCCTAAACGAAGGATCATTACCTGTAAGTCTATAACGATTAAGAGAATCATCAAAAGTTTTACGGGGGCATTTATTTAAGATTTTATTAAAATGATAAATAATTTTTATATTTTTTTTAGGATCACAATAAAAATAATTTTTATGTTTTTGGAATGACAATTGGGGAATATTACTCAAATAACCCACTTGGGTCGCAGCAATTTCAGTGTACACCACCGAAAAAAAAAAAAAATTTTGCGACCTTATTACGACTAATATATAACTAATATACAACTTATTACGACTAATAAACTACTCTTATTTTAATTGTATATTAGTTATATATTAGTCGTAATAAGGTCGCAAATTTTTTTTTTTTTTTTCGGTGGTGTACCCTGAAATTGCTGCGACCCAAGTGGGTTATTAGGGTTAAAACCCCTGACAATTGGGTCAGTGGCCCCTCTGTCCGCCCATGGTTATGTACGTTATTTAACCTTAAAGTTTATTGTAAGTGGAAAAACGTGAGAGAAAACGACTTCTAATCATAATGGTTACAGTAACATACCATAATTATAAATAAACAATTATAGAGTGATTATTTAGGTTTGAATGGAGATGTCTTTTATTTTGGGTTTTTGGTTTTAGTTTTTGGATTTTGGTTTTTAGTTTTTGGTTTTTGGTTTTTGGATTTTATAATATTTGAAAACTCAAAAAAAGTAGCTTTTCGTTTTTCATTGATTTTTTCACTAAAATAGCTTTCCAAGTTTTTAGGAAAGTAATTTTGTAAAAACTTGAATATTGTTTTTTTTGGTTTTTGGATTCTAAAAACTCTAAATATTCCTACCATTCAAGGCCTTAATAACCGATATGCCGTAACGTTTGGTAGTGCCAAAACGAGGATCTCCCAAACGGTTGTCTCGTCCTTGAGGGTTTGATGCTTTTCTTCTTCTTCTTCTTCCAGAATCAAACAAAATCATTATTTGAAATAATCCGTAGAAAATTCAAATACGAAATTACCCTTTTGAATTTGAACCCATTTGGTATTAGGTAGCGAAAGCATATTCCCCTCCAATGTGAATGCTAAAGTCGTATTTGTCGCTTTGTGAACTCTACTCACTTCAATTCATCATCTCCCCCATCAACATAAACCTTAATGATGATAAATACCTCATCGATCATAACCTACAAACCATTAGCCACCGCAAGATTTCAGTCGTGCACTATCAATGGGCTCACTCGAACACGAAGACATACCGATCGTTGACTTCTCCGGCAAGAAAATGGAGCCGGGGACGAGCCATTGGACCACGACAAGGGACATTGTCCGACGAGCCATGGAAGAACAAGGATGGTTCGTGATCGAGTACGACGGTGTGGGTCCAGATCTCCTGGAGGACTTGCTGGGCGGGATGAAGGAGATGTACGAGCTGCCGTACGGGGTCAAGATCAAGAACGAGAACCACAAGGCCTCGCACGGGTACATGTCAATGGTGGTCCAAGATTACCAGATCCACGAGAGCTTGGGGATCGATTATGCCACGCAGTTCAAGTCTTGCCTCGATTTCTCCCGTCTCCTTTGGCCCGACGGAAACGATCCCTTTTGGTATGGACGCTCAAATATACACTTTTTTTTCATTATATATATGTATGTATAGACGCGAATCAAAAACCATATCTTAAACATGATGTTACTGTCAAGAATTAAACTAATGTGAATCAATAACGAATTATAAATGAATCGATCTATAGGCTAGTCGGATCGAAGTGGAAGAACATGCATGATACACATGCAATCTCACATCACTGGGTATATTTATCAATTAAGTCCATAACTTAATAAGCTCACATATACCAAAAAAAAACTTAATAAGCTCACATAATTAGCCTACATATAATAATGTATGATCAATTTGATTAAAGTGGTGGCCTATATAATTATTGAAAGTAATCTTGACACCGTTATCTTCGTTGTGGATATATATCTACATACAGATAATTTAGTGGCATATAATATCAATATCTGAATCGAAATTCGATCTGGGATGATCATTTAAACAGCGAAACAACTCATTCGTACGCCAAGACATTAGCAGAGATGGACCGAACAGTGATGAGGATGTTGTACGAGAGCTACGGAATGGACGAACAAAAGCACTTGGAGACTTACGTCGAGTCGACTCGGTACTTGTTGAGGTTACTGAGTTACAGGAAACAACGAAACGGAGCACCCAACACGGCCTTCGTGTCTCACACCGACAAGAGTTTCACGACAATCCTTCACCAGAACCATGTCTTAGGTCTTCAGTTAAGATCCAAGTCCGGCGAATGGATCCAGTTCGAGCCCTCACCCACAAGGTTCGTGTTCCTCGCCGGTATGGGTATCACGGTGAGTCCTTTCACTGCTACATATGTATAACATCTATGTATATATATATGTGTGTGTATATCTCAACCATTGTTATAATAGGTTATGTCATCGTCGTTGAGAATATATGATATCCGTTCTTGAAAGTACGTTCGACATTTCAGTTATCACGAATGCCTTCATTCGAGATATACGTGAAGATGTTATAAACTTTTGTTAGTTCCCTATAGAATACAACAGTTACATTGATATAAGTTCAACGATATGGATACAAGGAATTATTTCTATATGGGGTTATAATTAGGGGGTGAACATTTCGGTTTTCGGTTCGGGTTTGGTTTGGCTATATTCAGATTCGGTTTTTTCCACGCAGGCATGGAGTAACGATAGGATTAAACCGTGTTACCACAGAGTAGTGATGAGTGCAGACGAAGTGAGATACTCGATGGGATTCTTCTCCTTCCACAAAGACACGATCCGTACACCAGAGGAGCTTGTGGATGACCAGCATCCCCCAAGGTACAACCCCTTCGAGCACGACGGTCTTCTACGCTTCTACGAGTTGTACCTTCTTCAGAAGAAAACCAGCGAAGACCTTCTTCATATGTACTGCGGTGTTAACTGATCCCAAAATGAATAAGTTCTGTGATGAAGTGAATCGATGTGAAACAAAAGCTTGTGAGAGATGAAGAAATCAAAGATGTTTTATTGATTTGGGCAAAAAACAAAGTATTGAGAGATGAATCGATCAGGGGAGTGTTGTTCAAACAAACACTTTTTATTCCCTTGTGTTTTCTGTACGATACAATGTCAACATATATATGCAGAAGGCTGAAGGTAAAGTTTAGGGAAAGTAAATAAATAATGAAATAAGAATATGCAATTACGGAAGTAGAAACGGAATGTTTCTGATATGGTTTGAGATTGTGTCTTTGTCTTGTGGCTGAATTACCTCGCTTTCCTTTATGTGTTTTTCGGTTTGCTTGTCCGGTTCTATTGTTATCGGTCTTGCTTGGTTCTTTGTCCCTCAACATTCTCCCTCAAGATTAGTCGGGATATTCATTGAGACCAATCTTGAAGAGACACTTGTTGAGAACAAATGAGCTCGTTGCCTTTGTAAGGATGTCTGCTAGTTGATCCTGACTCCGAGTGTATTTGGGCGAGACTAGTCCTTGTGTTATCTTCTCTCGAATGAAATGACAGTCAACTTCTATGTGTTTCGTCCTTTCATGAAACACCGAGTTAGCTGCTATGTGGAGTGCCGCTTGGTTGTCGCAATGTAATGTGGTTGGTGTCTCTAATTTGATGCCGAGGTCGGTGAGGAGTTGACGCAGCCAGATTATTTCGCTGGTTGTGTTCGCCATGGCCCAGTATTCTGCTTCCGTGCTTGAGCGAGCTACCACCGTCTGTTTCTTGCTTTTTCACGTGACCAAATTGCCTCCTACAAAGGTGCAATATCCCGTAGTTGATTTCCGGTCCATCCTATCACCGGCCCAATCCGCATCACAATATGCTACGATGTTAGTGTGTTGATTCTTTGTCATCCAGACTCCTTTGTTATGCGTTCCTTTGAGGTATTTGAGTATACGCGTCACCATGAGCCAATGTGTTGTCATCGGAGTATGCATCCATTGGCTAACCTGATGCACCGCAAAGCTTAAGTCAGGACGTGTGATTGTTAAATATATTAACTTACCTACAACGCGCCGGTATAGTTCTGGATCCTCAAATGATTCTCCCTCGCGTTGATCCTTGAAATGTTCTTCAATTGGCGTCCGAACCGGTTTACTTCCTAGCATTCCCGTATCCTGTAATAAATCAAGAGTATACTTCCTTTGGGAGAGAAATAAGCTGTCAGAAGTACGGGTTACTTCAATCCCAAGAAAATATTTCAATTGGCCGAGATCTTTGATATCAAAGACCGATGTTAAATAGCTCTTTGTTTCTTGAATGCCGGAAGTATCACTGCTTGCAAGAATTATATCATCCACGTAGACAAGAATAACAATGATTCCAAGTGAAGTGGTGCGAGTAAAAAGGGAGTGGTCGGAGTCACTTCTTACGAAGTCACGGGCAGTGATAGCAAGAGCGAGCTTGTGATACCATGCTCTGGGGGATTGTTTTAGACCATATATAGATTTGCGTAGTCGGCAGACATGACCAGGCGGTATAGGTCGATGGTATCCGAGTGGAGGAGTCATATAAATCTCTTCATCGAGATCGCCCTGAAGGAACGCATTTTTTACGTCCATCTGCCATAATTCCCAACCCAAATTAATAGACAAAGAAAGAATAACACGAACAGTGGAAAGCTTAGCTACCGGTGCAAAAGTCTCTGTGTAATCCTCGCCGTAGGTTTGTGTATAACCTTTGGCAACGAGTCGCGCCTTGTATCGATCAATGGAACCATTGCTCAGATATTTTATTTTATAAATCCATTTGCACCCCACTGTTCTCTTGTCCGACGGTAACACTGTGAGATCCCACGTGCCATTCTTTTCTAAGGCATCAATTTCTTCTTGCATCGCGTGTTGCCACACAGGAATGTTTTTGGCCTGGACAAACGTGCTCGGTTCCTTCTCCTGCAGAATAGAGCTCAAAAAAATTTGATCAGTGGTCGAAAAACAAGAGAGGTCAGAATATGACTCTATTGGATAAGAAACAGAGAGATGAGTTTTAGGAAGTCCTTTTCCCAGCATCCAAGTATGTGGGTTGAGACGAACAGAGGCATGGCGAGAACGTGAGCCGCGGCGGAGAGGAATTTGTGCAGAGACTGGTGAAGTGGTGTCATGAGGAGTAAGCTCTTGGACTTCCCCCTCATCTAGAGCGTCACGGACAGACGAAACAGGGGCATCAAACACATCAGTTCCGTCGACATCCAGAGGAGCTGCAGACGAATTTTCTGCAACAGCTGGCAATGTCGATGTCGAAGGGACGATGTGGTCTTCATCAGAGGCCGTCACTCTGGGTGAAACTGGTGGAACAGAGGTGAGTGAATCGAAAGAAGGAGAAAGGATCGGTAAAACCTGGGACGATGCTGGAGAATTGACAGTGGCAGGAGGACTGTTCAAATCAGTGTGGGCTGGAGAATTTGCTGAACTGGGCTCCTGTAGTTGACTTAAACGTTTTATAGTGGTGAGATAATGGAGTAAATATTCGTTGGAAGTGTTACCTGGATTCACCAGATTTTCTAAAGCAGACCAATCTTGGCGATCAAAGTAACCAAACTCTTCTAGAAAGTTGACATCTCTCGAAGTGTACAGACGGCCAGATTGAGGTTGGTAACAAAGATAACCTTTCTGGTCGGTTGGGTAACCCAGGAAGACACAGCGAACACTACGTGGATCAAGTTTACTGCGTTCCCCTTCATGGACACGGACATAGCAAACACAACCGAAAACTTTTAGATGATCAATAGCAGGTTTCTGATGAAATAATACCTCATATGGAGACTTGTCGGAGAGGATTTGTGTCGGCAGTCTGTTAATCAAGTAACAAGCTACTTTGACAGCATCACACCAGTATTTCTTCGGAACATGACGGTGAAACATGAGCGTTCGAGCCACTTCCATCAAATGACGATTTTTCCGCTCAGCAACGCCATTTTGTTGCGGAGTGTATGGGCAGGAACGTTGATGTACAATGCCATGTTGAAGTAGATATCGGCGGAAATTGTCACTCGAGTATTCGTCGCCGTTGTCCGATCGTAAGCTCTTAATGCTGACACCAAACTGGTTAAGAACATAGGCATAAAAATTCTGAAAGGCTAGGAATACGTCACCTTTCGCCTTTAAAGGAGTGAGCCATGTGAACTTAGATTTTTCATCAATAAACGTGACGAAGTATTTAAAATTATCACGAGAATAACACGGTGCAGTCCAAACATCGGAGTGTACTAAATCAAACGTATTGTCATAAACCGTACTCGAAGTGGGAAAAACCGAACGAACGTGTTTGCCAAGAGTACATGCCTCACAAATAGAATTAATGGGTTTATGTTCGGGAACAAGTAATCGAAGCACTTTCGAATGGGGATGACCCAAACGATCATGCCAAATATCAGAAATAGTAGAAAGAAAGCTAGCATGAGTGTCTTCAAGAAAGAACAGATTTCCCTTTTTGAATCCTCTGCCGATTGTCTCAGTGGTTTTAGTATCCTAAAACTCAACATGATCAGCATAAAAAATGACACGACAATTAATTTGGTCAAGCAATTTAGAGATAGATAGTAAGTTTGTTTGTAAATCTGGAACATAAAAGCCAGAGACTTGTTTGCCAAACAGATTCAACGACCCATGACCTCGGATTGGGACGGTGTGTCCATTTGCCACAGAGACCAAGCCGCCACAATTTTTTAGATCAGAAAACCAAGTTGAATCTTTGAACATATGTGAGGATGCACCATAATCAATTATAACAGAAGAAAGAGAGGAAGAAGTACCACTTTCTTTGCTGCTCATAGCTAGGAGAAACTGCTTGAAGCCTTTAAGTTCATCAGCAGTGAATGGAATAGAAGTGTCTCCAGGATTGGTTGCAGTTGTAGCAGTCATGGCGGAAACACGGTGGCTGTTGTTGTCTCGAAAACGTGCAGGTTTCAAATGGGGATTCAGAGCCCAACATCTGTCTTTAGTGTGCCCACTTTTTTTACAGTGGTCACAAAACAGATTCCGACGATCTTTCGGGTGAGAACCTGTAGGTGTCGGCTTCTTGGAATAGTGGGCGAGTTCAGGAGGGTGTCTGAACAGGTTCCGACCTCCTTCTTCCCGCTTAATCATCATGCACACCTCATCGAAACTTGGTAATTTCGTTTGTCGCAGCATATGATAGACCAAATCATTAAAGGAAGGATCGAGAGTAAGGAACAGGAAGAAAACCTTGTCTTCCTGGACTCGGTCTCGTGTCGTTTGTTGATCAGATGTAGGTGGACGGATCTCCTCGAGCTCAGCCCAGAGGGCACAAAATTCACCTTGAATTGTATTAAACGGCTGTCCATTTTGTTGCAACTGGAACAATTTCTTCTTGATCTCAAAGATTCGGCTGATGTTGGAGAGATTTCCATACACACTTTTGAGGGAATCCCACAGAGATTTCGCCGTTTCATTGGCGATAAATGATTGTAGGATGTGAGCATCAAGAGAGCCTTGTAAAATGACTAAGGCTTGGCTGTCGGATTGTTTCTAGGCAGCTTGTTCAGATACTTCTTTTTGGCAGCAGGAACACGAGTTGGCTTGGGGATCCTTGTGGAGACAACATGCTCCCAGAGACCCTTACTGTGGAGGGCAGCAGTTGCTGCCTTAGTCCAATAAAAATAATTATCTCCATTGAGAAGTATGGGTATCAGTTTGCTGCTCTGTTCCATGAGTTTCGGTTGCGGATGAAAGATCTAGACAGAATAACTAAGAGAGGTGAGCAATATGAGAGGTGAACAACAAAATCAGAGATCTTGAAGCTCTGATACCATGAAGAAATCAAAGATGTTTTATTGATTTGGGCAAAAAACAGAGTATTGAGAGATGAATCGATCAGGGGAGTGTTGTTCAAACAAACACTTTTTATTCCCTTGTGTTTTCTGTACGATACAATGTCAACATATATATGCAGAAGGCTGAAGGTAAAGTTTAGGGAAAGTAAATAAATAATGAAATAAGAATATGCAATTACGGAAGTAGAAACGGAATGTTTCTGATATGGTTTGAGATTGCGTCTTTGTCTTGTGGCTGAATTACCTCGCTTTCCTTTATATGTTTTTCGGTTTGCTTGTCCGGTTCTATTGTTATCGGTCTTTCTTGGTTCTTTGTCCCTCAACAAGAGAGCCATGGATTATAAGTCTTTTGCGTTCTGTTGAAACCGGTCTGAAGTTTTACATACTTAGTCACCCCATTTCCAACTTCCCTATTAGTTACATTATAAGTTACGCTTCCAAATCGGATTTGGATAACATAAAACTTTCATATGACCAATCATTTTGGTTAAAGAATAAGCTCTAACCATAGCGGCCGGTCTTGTCGAGATTAGAGGTCAAATGGACTCGACTCGTGGGTCCACTAGCGAGCCATTCCATGTTTTTTTTTAGATGTGTTCAAAAACCATGGGTACGAAAAAAACGAGTAACTCGTCACGAACCAAACTCACGGCGAACCATCTCGGTAAACCCACGAACTGGCATGCAAGCCAATAATATATATTTTTTTAATTTTCAATATTTTTAAATATTTTATATATAAAATTTGTGTTTTGAGTAGATATTTGGATTGTTAATTTATATTATTTTTAAATATTTTTTAGTATTTAAATTTTATTTTTCTTAGTTATGTATTTAACTTACGAGTTGATTTGTTTATCTCGTGATCGAGGATAAGTCAGATTGAGTCAAATAATTTTTGAGTCGTCAAAAAACGAGCTAAAAAAATCTGAGATCGGGAGGTTACTCCATCCAAGTAACGGGTCGGTACAGTGCCAGTTTGACTAAGCTAACTAACTTCGGTTTGGACGATAAATCAAGATGGAGGATGATTAGGAGAGTGAGAGTTGGCATGCGTGGCTAGGCCTTGGACCGGTCCGGTTAGTAAGCTTCCATATTTTTTCCATATATATCATTAAGTAGATTTTAATTTTAGAATACATTTTTTTCAGGAATTATGTACAACACAAGTGAAAAATAATTTGATTAATCAACCCAAAAGTCAAACGATATCATTCTTGTTGATGAGCCCTAATCACCGAAAGTGCATTGTTGAAGTGTGTTGCTTTTGTTCGAAGGTACTCCTTCCAAGTAACCGGCCGGTACAGAGGTGGTTCGACCGGGCTAACCAGCTTCCATATGGGCGAGATCTGGACGTCGGATTGTGGGCCCCATAGATAAGCAACAGAGAATCGGGACCGGTTCTTGTTAACCCGGACTCGGTGAAGCACGCTCGGTAACCGCCCGTTTGATAAGATGTGGAGGAGATCGCCGATATTGACCACGAGCGAGCCAGGGATGGGTGACACAGTGAGCCAACCGACCCCATCCTTGAAGACCTGTAGACCGGCGGTGATGTTTTGGTACAGAACGGTCAGGAGAGTGGAGTCGGTATGAGCAGCTAGACCCATTGCCCGGTCCGGTTCTGGGCAAACCGGATAGTGGTTTAGCTGTATCGCTGCCTGGGCCCCGTTAAAATCCGAATTGGGCCCGGCCCATTTGATGTCCGCTTCGGTCACGCCGAGGGAACTTAACACCAACCACATCAACTTCGTTGCCAACTTTTGCATGTGTTCCTCGTACTCTTTGATAACGTCACTGTTAAATGGATATGAATATATACTACAAACATTAGGCATATATGCAATTTAAGTATAACATATGTATGTGTATACATATGTGTACGTCTCTTTGGAGGAAAAAGTATAAAGCAAGTGGGGTTTAGTTTTCATCGGTCCAACTTAAATACGTATGTAATATGTATGTCCAAATCTTCACGTGGGTCCATTTGCTATCATTCTGCTTTTTACTAAACTTCGTCATGGCAAAAGTTCGGTTTCTGTTTTTATGCTTCCGTTAGTACCATATCTGAATGATTCATGCAAGGACAATCAATTCCTTAATTTCTCTTCTCATAGAAGTTTACTCATTGAAAAATTCGTGTGCATGTATATATATGTGTGTGTGTCTGTATATGTGTGGATTCATGCATATATGTGTAATTAAGTATACGTTCGGATCGGATGTGCGTGGTGGAGGAACGAATACTTGGTTTTATACGCTTATAAAAAGGCACTTGGACATCTAGGGTATACTATAATAATTAATAATACACTTGTACTGGCTTATATTAATCGTGTATAAATACATGTGCGTGTGCGTATATTTATATATATATATAGGCGTGTATATATACCAGTATTTGAGGTGATGAAGTGGCCAAAGTTTGCGGAAATGGTCGCGGGCAGAGCCGGTGACCGTGAAACCTTCGGACCACATTTGCTTGTGGAAGAAGGAAGCGATACGGGCGACGCCGTAGCCAGAGACACCGTCCACCGGCCGAGCGGCCCTCATTTTCCGGTGAGCCGGAAGACGGAAAAGGCTAACGGTGAGGGACTCGATGTCGTCGAGGAGCGACAAAGGCACACCGTGGTTGGTGACCTGGAAAGCTCCCCAAGACATGCATGCACGGCCGATGGCGGCGGCGGCGGCGTGGTCGGAGAGGTCGATGACGGGAAGGGTATTTTGGTCATTTGAGGCGGCGGAGAAGAGGAGGTCGTCTTCGTGGGTCCAAGTGAAGGAGTCGGGGAGTTGGCGGAGAGAAGTGAGGTCATGGGTTTGGTGAGAGAGCGAGATGGGGTGAGCTCTAAACACATCAGTTAACATGGAAGGCATATACTCTCTCGGAGTAGCTAAACGTGTTTGCAGGGAATGGATTGAGGAGGAGGAGGGTATTTATAGAGGGTAAAGGAGGAGATGGCAAATACATATGGGCGTGGATAGTGTTTGATACGTTTTATAAATATTGACAAGAGATTTGTTTGGTGAATTCTTACTGGTTAGTCAACCGCTTTAACGAATAAATTCAATAAAAAAAATCTATAAATGTAGCTGGCCATACTTTTTTTATTATAATATATATCTATATCTATATACAGGAAGTTTATACCGAGAGAGAGAGAGAGTTTGATGTATCTTCACCATATGATATGATGAATAATGCATGTGCTTTTGTCTTGTCGTGTATTAGACTAATTACAAACCAAGAAAATGCATCATCATCATCATCATCATCATCATCATCATCATCATCATCATCTTATTATTATTATTATTATTATTATTATTATTATTATTATTATTATTATTATTATTATTATTATTATTATCATCAACTTAATGTCCATCAATATATACATACGAGTTTTTTTAAATATTAATTAATTCGACGGTATTATGTCGAGTATCCTACGGTACCTATATATATAGTTATACATACGAGTTTATATATTTATAATATATTTACATATATACGTACATACAAGTTTTTTTATATTTATTAATTCGAACGTATTATGTTGATTCTCCTACTTATATATATCTTAAATAGGTGAACCAATTACATCAGTCAATTATTAGATTCTCCAATTTATATTATAGGGTGATGTGAATATATATTAATCGTTTGTCTTATATGCATATATAATATGATGAAAGCTGCCGCTCCCTAACGATATCGTATTGGACTATCACATATAATATCTGATAAATTAATATAAGAGCCACATGTGAGCTTCAACGTAAAAGTTGAGTAATTGCAAGGAATTTTTTTTTTAAATGAGCAGATTTATATCTTATTATAAAGATAAAAATACGTATAAATATTTATTTATTTATTTATTTTTGTGTAATATTGTCTTTTTATTTTGTGTCCTACTTGGCTCTCACTAGGCTCTACAAACAAAAGAAAACACAAAAATCTCAAAGACGACAAAATTTAAAGTGGGAGTGCAATGCAAACACCATCTCGTCGTGGGTCCTTAAATATTTTTTTCCCAACATTATAATTTGTTAATAAAGCAACAACGCACAAATGAATTTATTTTGATAATTGATAATATAAAATATAACGCAATTCATTTGGATCCAAAATAAAATATATAATAAATTTAGAATCTATTGTTTGGATTCCGTTACAGAAAATGAAAATATACATGGTTTTAAATCAAGATCGCGACATGATGGGCAAAACTTCAACTCAGTTGGAAATAAGTGTCCTCTGTATAAGGTTGTGGTTTCATTCCTTTTGAGGTCTGAAGTTTCCCTCCGATCAGTTTTGGTCGATTTATCTGTTCCGCATGGTTTACCGACTATTGCACGAAATTAGGGAGTTTACTCTCCCAGATACTGTTTGGCCCACGGGACCAAACGAGTATCCGCCCCGAAAGGCCGTGAGACTCGTTTTCGACCGTTACAAAAAAAAAAAAAAGATCGCGATATGATATGAACAAGCTTTTTGTGGGGTCAAGGATTGGTCTTGTTAACAATAGCGAATACACACAAAAAAAAAGGGTAAATAAATCGTTATGGATTGAATTAAAGTATTCCGTAACGTAATCAAAATTAAAAAGTTGTAAATTATCGATTTATTTTTATGCGTTGGTTAGAAGTCTTTCATCGACTTAATTAAAAATTAAAAAGTTGTAAAGATTCAGGATTTCACATCAGTTCTTGTCTTCATATTCCAAATTTTTTTTTGGTTGGACGTTAAAATATGCCAAAGTTTTCATGACAACGAACCACCAATATTTTGGAACACGCCAATTTATGGACAACACGTAGATATACACACATAAACATGGACATGCACATGCACATTGTTCATCCCCTTGTGCGGTATGCACGTGCTCATCACGTGATGCTCCGGACAGTACTATATATCATTTTCCATATCCTTTGGCAGAATGTCACGAAGGGAATTAATGGTTTCTGTTGTAATGAAGTTTGTGGATACGTCTTTACCGGAAAAAAAAAGTTTGTGGATACGTGTGCCTATGCATGTGTGGATACATGTATATACACATATATGTATGCATGTATATGGGGTAATTAATTTGTACCGACATATATACATATATATATATATATTTAATGTATAACATGGGAGTATATGATGTTTGTCAAGCAAATTGGAATAATATTTGTCTTTAAAATCTTGCGCAAACAAAAACATCAAGGGGAGGAAGTGCATTTTTGACGTGGTTGATAATCACCCACGTGGAAATAACACCTAATCTTCACGTCTCTTGGATTTATTAGGCTTTATATATATTAATCTAAAAAATGCAAAGGTCACCAAAGTTTTGGAATTATGTGTCGGACCAAATTCACACGCTCCTTTGATAATTCAATATTAACTACAATGGCCCATTTTTAAATATAAAATTATTGTGTGTTCTTTTTATTCCAATCTCATTTGATACCATCATTTCATTAATTATATGTTTATCCTTGCCTTTCATGGATCCTGACATCAATGCATATACTGATATGCATACAAATGAAAGAGAGAGAGAGAGAGAGATTAAGCTAGCTTTGATTGGAATTTACTAATAAAACAAAAAAAAAGCGTAATTAAGATTTGAAGCAATGATTTAATTGAATAATATGATTTTGTCATTACTGAAGTGACTAAGCATTAAAGTCAGACAATAGGACAGCAAATCTTGTAAGGTTTATATGTCACAATAATATTGCGTCTTGTTTGTTTTTCAATGGATTGGACAAATTTGGTAAATTATTGCGTGATAGAATAAGACAGATAAATAAAACGACAATTAGTACAAATCATGGTAATTATGGTTTCAAACAAGTTAATCAGCCAAACACGTTTCCTAATGAGACAAAATATCTCGAAAATCATGGGAATCAAAGACCACTTGTTGAACCAGAAACACACATACACACATATATATATATATATATATATATATAAAATATGATACCAAAAAATTCTATATCCATATTGACATAACATGGCCATGTAGGCATTGAAGTAGTACGGCTCGAACATGACAACCGAATCACCCGGGTCACACAGCGTGAGAACGAGGTTCACAAACGCCTGTGTTTGGATCCCGGGACAGGGTTAAGTTAGCCAATGCAAGAATAGGCAAGAGCCAGCCAAAACCAGAGATGAAACATCGCTACAAAAGACGAGTTACCTGATTGGCACCTGCAGTAACCATCACAGCAGATTTGTGTAGCTTATTCTCTTCGCACAACTGCAGATCAAATACCAGAAAGAAATCAAAACATAAAAAACTTCCACTCATCAATGGAAGCAAACCCTTTTTCGACATTACCTTCTTCTGCAGAGCTTCTCTCAACTCTGGGATACCTTCGTCGGGTCCATAAGAACTAACGAGAGGATCCCACACAAGCTCTTTAACCTTTTCTAATGCTTGTTCAGGAGGCTGCCAATACACAACTCCCTGAACCAACAGTAGAAAAACTTACATGACAACCATAACCAAACAAAACGATGAACCTCGCTCTGTCACATGATCTCTGTCTGTGTAAGTTGAACAAAGCAAACGAATTTTCAGATAAAGCTTTCGACACTGAAGTATTTTCAGATCAATATATATATATATATATATATATATACCGACAATAGGCTACTTGGATTTCTTTTTCTTTTTATTAGAAAACAAAGGAAAAAGAGGAAATGGGATACGGTCATTATTTAGCTGCTATTTAAGACAAAACACGTTGATTTTGGTTTATGTTATAAAACGACAAGAACTATGGGCATTTTTGGTTCTTTGAAACCGAACCGGAAAAAAAAGTAGTCAAAAAATCTTGGACGGTTATACTTTTAGTAAACCGAATATATCAAAATCGAAACGAAAATTTAAAATTCTAAAAAAAATATTTTTTTAAAATAAACTTTTTTCCAAATTGAACGAAAACCGAATCGAAATCGACATAGAATCAAACCGAACATATTATGACAATTGAGCCCAAATACAGGCCCATAATAATTGGGTCATGATACAGGCCCATAATAATTGGGCCTTCAAATTGGCAATGGCTACATTCACTAAACCATTTTTCTTTATTGTTATTATTATTGACATTAAAACCAAAAGCTTTCTAAGATCAATGGATCTTAGCCACAAACTAAAGTTGAATATATATAAATAAAAAGTTTACATCCTTTTTTCTTGGGCCTTACTGCGATTTCGTTCACTCCACCATTCCATGAAGAACAAGCTCCTCCAAACCTCTCCTCAACCTCTCTGCGGCGGCTCTCGTCGCTGCCTCGGGCAACCCTCCGAATGACACCCGAAGGTGCCCGGGGCTCCCGCATGCGCTCCCGGGGATAACCACGACTCCGTGGCGGTGCCCTAACCACTTGACCACCTTGAAATCGTCGGTGTAACCCTCGGGTAACTTTGCCCACAGGTATATTGCCCCTTCTCCTCCCTTCACGTTACCTTTTCCCAGTGGCCCGAGGGCCTCTCGTACTATCTCTCGGTTCTTGACCAGACCCTTCACCCGTTCCTCCACCCACCCCGGCCCCATCTCTAGCGCGTAGAGCGCAAGCCTCTGAGAGATTATCGATGCACATATCGGGATGTTGTCCTGAACTTTCAGAAGCTGCTTTCCAAAGTCTTCCAGTTCCTCGGGGTACGCTATCTGCAGCAAGGGAAAACGTTACGTCCGTATGCATTTTTCTCCGACCCGATGGGAATAGATTACCGGTTCGAGTATCATCTTATATATCCTATAGCCATCAAGAACCAAGACATCTCAGAAGGCATAAGCTCAAACTCAGTTTTCAGACGTCAGATTATGGTGCTCAATCACGAAATACGCTAAACAGAGGTCGGAAATTCTACATTATTATGGAAAAACGAAGAAAAAAATGGCGACTTGGGTTGAACAGAATTGGATTTACTTACATATCCGAGCCGCCAACCCATCATGCCATAGGTTTTAGAGAAGGAGAAGACGTTGACGATATGGTTCCCCTCGACGCAAGAATGTTTTAAACCGTCATACATGAAATACCTGCGATTTCATATCTTTCAACCAAAATCTTCATGATTCATCATCAATGCCAGAAGCAGGGCCGGTAAACTTACTCGTATGTGTTATCTACGATCAGCCAACAACCAGCGTTGCTACATATATCCGAAATCCTCTGCACAACAAAACGGAAAAACAACCGTAAGAGGAAAAGATTCATCCAATCAAATATATAATGGTTACGACACGAGAGAGAGAGAGGGTGATTCACCTTAAGCAGGGGTTCAGGGACATAGGTCCCGCTCGGATTACCGGGATTAACAACGGTTACAACCTTCGGGGTCGGTTTAGATTCAGATAATGTCCTCTCTAACCAGTCTTTTGAAGAAAAGGAGAAATTCAGAACGATGCAAAAAGGTATCACAAAGATGATTCTGGGGAATGAAGGAAGTGTCTTTTTTTTTTCCCCTCACCTGCGTCGGGATAGAGAGTTTCGGGGTGGTTGGGACCGATGAGTATGTCGGTAACTCCAGTCATCTGGAAGGCCATGTAGGCATTGAAGTAGTACGGCTCGAACATGACAACCGAATCACCCGGGTCACACAGCGTGAGAACGAGGTTCACAAACGCCTGTGTTTGGATCCCGGGACAGGGTTAAGTTAGCCAATGCAAGAATAGGCAAGAGCCAGCCAAAACCAGAGATGAAACATCGCTACAAAAGACGAGTTACCTGATTGGCACCTGCAGTAACCATCACAGCAGATTTGTGTAGCTTATTCTCTTCGCACAACTGCAGATCAAATACCAGAAAGAAATCAAAACATAAAAAACTTCCACTCATCAATGGAAGCAAACCCTTTTTCGACATTACCTTCTTCTGCAGAGCTTCTCTCAACTCTGGGATACCTTCGTCGGGTCCATAAGAACTAACGAGAGGATCCCACACAAGCTCTTTAACCTTTTCTAATGCTTGTTCAGGAGGCTGCCAATACACAACTCCCTGAACCAACAGTAGAAAAACTTACATGACAACCATAACCAAACAAAACGATGAACCTCGCTCTGTCACATGATCTCTGTCTGTGTAAGTTGAACAAAGCAAACGAATTTTCAGATAAAGCTTTCGACACTGAAGTATTTTCAGATCATTAGTGTCGAAATCCAAGGTCTTTCTTTTATCCCCGAGAAACAGGAGACGCGTTCTCGTTTCGTTTCTGGTTAGAACACGCAGAACGAGATTTACACACGCGCATATCTATAGAACAGTTTAAGGAAAGCACGCACACATACAGAGGAGAGAAACAAGAGGGGGAAACCTGAGCAAGAGACATGGGGTTCTTCAATTCCTCCATGAGTTTCCGGATCTGCACGCAAAACCACAACCCGAACAGTTTTCACACGACAAGGATCGCTTCACCCGACACGACAAAAACTCATGGAGACACAAATCAGAAAACCCAGATGTGAATACGAGATTGACCTGAACCATGACGGGCATTTGGGTCCCCAAGGCTCTCCTCGAAAGCATCCCGAACGAACCCATTTCGCTAAACTTTAAGACGTCCTTGATCGAGAGACCCGGATAACAAAAAAACAGAAGAATTTCAGAGATTTTATCGGGGATTAAGCTGAACCCAGAAACGAATCGGCTTTGATGTGTGAGTAAATCACATATCTTTATTGACCCACCTAATCAAAGAGGAACAGTGCGTGAAAATTTGACAATTTCTCCCGATAAAACTATTGGAAATTATGGAGAGCCGGATTTAAAAGGATAGTCGAACTGGCAAATACCAAAGAGAACTGGTTTTATGCACGTCTCTTCGTCATCGTCATCGTCATCTTCACCTTCGCCAACTCAATTGGGGATAAAAGATTAAAAAAAATAAATTCCTGTTCTATACGGACAAAGACTGTCTCTTTACGAAAGAGTAACGTAAAAAGTTCTTTTTGGACAAATTGAAAATTTAGTAGAGAGTAGAAAAGAGTAACGCCTTTGTTCCGATTCTATCGTCGTCTCACTTTACTTTGTCTGCTTTCGCTTTTCCAAGCCGCCCAAACGCACATATCGTCAAAGCATTCATTCAAATCAAATCCGATGGTTCAAATTGCTGTAATTATCCGATTTTTTTCTCACAGAGAATCCAGTTTTTCTCTTACCAATCAGAGAGAGAGAGAGACCTGAGGAAAATAACAGAGGTCGCGTTTCAGACAAAGAACGAAACCACCTTTGAAAATGTCGGAGGAAAAATTTTCCATCGGAAGAAAATAGTGGACGGCAAAGATTGGGTATTCTCAACTACCACAAATTCGAAATGCCCCCATAATTTCCAAATAACATGATATATGTCCCATTAGTTTTGAATAATTACCAATCCGGCTCGTATTCTAAATTGTTGAAAAAAGAACCTGAAGGGCAAACTACAAGCGAGATATAAACACGACACAATTGCACCAGATCAATTCCACAAAAAAGTATCTTAAAACTCGGAGCATGTTTAATTTGCTTTGAGTCTTAGGATTAGGTTGTTAAGAACAAATTATTATTTTAGATGTTGAATCTAAATAACAAAGGACCGTCATAATTTATATATTTTACAATTGAAAATTGCTATAACATATCTTTGTTATAAAATTCTCATAGCAATAACCATTGTTTTGTGTAGAACCAACAACTGAGACTGAGAAGAATGTGGACAGTGTCCTGGGTGAGTTGCTTTCTGGCAGTGCAGAGCTTGCGGGGGATGTCAGTCTTTTGGAGGAATGCCTGCAGATCAAGCCCATTGAATCATTGATACAGATAAATTGTAAAACATACTCCAATCTGATGGGTTCTAAATTTGATCCAAACCGATCGGCGGGGGGGTTTAAAAAAATGACAAAATACAAACTTGTTAAATGTATTTGAATCTCGGTCCCCTCTCTTGGACACAAATGATCATATAAGTGAATGACCTACTTCCCCCGGCCCGTTACGTCCATTTCAAACCCTATCTTGTTTTATTTTATTTTATATATATATATATATATATGTAATAAAAAAAGATCTGCATCTCTAACAATATATAACGTCCCTCATGCATTCTATGTTACGTTTTCAAACGTCATACTTAAGTTTCTTTTTTTTGTTTTACATCATTTAATTCAAGAATATATATGTACATTATATATATATATATATAGGTCTAATCTGAAGATGTTTCGTCGACAGTTCGCAAAGATGTAACCTCCAAAAGTTTTTAAAATCAATCATATAATTGTTTTGACTTTGCTGGCCTTAACAAGTGTTGGTTGGAGAAAGAAAAAAAAAATTGCCACGACGCTTTTATTGTTTAGGCCCTTAATGCATCCCAATCATAAAATAACCGATACACTACATATATTTAAAAGCTCCCCAAGTAATCATATACTATTAAAAATGTTTTATACAGAAAATGTTAATTGCCGAGTCAAATTGGGTTTTATAAAAAAAACACGTAATAATAATTATAATCCGCAACCACAGGAATATAAATTTAAATTGATATTGACCAAGAAATAGTCTCAAGTATAACCAAAATTAAACGGATTTGGTGACAAGAAAAACTCCAAATGAATCGGATTCTCATTATGAACTTTACCCGACAATATATAAAAATAGAAGGAAAAAAAAACTAATTCCTTACCATCATGTGGGTGGGTGGTACGTATAAGCTTCTAGGAATATCAAAAGACACATAATAAATGTAAAATAAAAATAGAACAAAGTAACTGCTTACTCGTAAATTTAAAATCTATAATTGAAAATTTTGGTGGAATCTTTGTTCGAATTTTGAACTTTGGAACAAGTAATTTGTTCACCTTTAAAAAAAATAATTTAACTATAGATTAAATACCTTACGTTGGTAAAGAATGTATCACCATATCTCGCGGTATAAATGTGTAAATTAATATAATTATTAATACTTGAAAACGTACATATTTTGCCTTTCATTTCTGAAAATCGATAAACCAAAAGGAAAATGTTTTTTTTTTTTGCGAAAATTAAAACACTATCCTCATTAATTGAGAATACATATTGCGAGGCGAAATGACGAAAAGGCCACTGATAATGTAGGCTGTGGAATGGAGGGGAGAAACATATATGGTAAATAAGATGAGTTTCAAGGGGTAAATAAGGGAATCGTTAATGACTAATCTAATCCTCAAGTCACAAATGAGAAATTAACCACCGATTAATTAACCAAATCCTCTAATCTGTCTTCTTCATCTTGCGCGGTCAACCAGTCAAGGGGTTTCGTTCCCTGCACTATTTTAATGTCGATTTATTCGTAAAGTTTTCGTTTTTAATTTCTTGTTAGTATTTGTTTTAAACGCAGACCTCATCCCGCTCCCTCCGCGCACTCTCGCTGACACTCTCTTTACCTAAAAGCAATTTGACTATATAACTCTTGATCTGCCCATTCCCCTATCTTTTTCTTTCTTTGAAGGAAAAGAGAGAGGTTTTTGAAGCGTTTTCTGGAGTTTCCCCAGGTCCCATCTAAATCTTTCTCCATCTTTTTCCTTCTTTCCTTTTGATAAGAACCTCATTTGAGATGCATCCTACTTCGTATGCATAAGCGTGCCTGCATTTCGTAGCGTTTTGTGCGAACGTAGACCCGACTGGTTTTCCCGTGATTTCTTGACTCCTTGTCGAAATTTGAAGCTTTTGATTCGTGGGTTTCTACGGATTTTCTCGTGGGTCTGTTTGTTTCCTGAGAAAATAAAAATGTGAGCCGATTTCTGGTGTTTCTGCTGATGGATCGAAGATGGGTTTTGTGGGTTCTCTTGAATTTCCCGACATCTTGCAGCTTTAGTTTCACGGGGCTGTGAGGTTTTCTTGTGGCCTGTTTGTTTACTGAGAGAATGTGGCTGTTGCTGAGAAGCAATTCCACAGAATTTTTCTTCCTTTCTCTTCCCCTTTTTTGGACAAAATATATACTTCTCAGGGACTCAAGAAAGAAAGAAATGGCACATGGATCATCGAATATTACTTTTCCTAATACATTTTGGGAAAATATTCTGTCGATTTCGTGGTTTTACGTTAGTAGCAGAGTATATCGCCGTAAATCTGCAACGACACTTTTTTCATTTGCTCTTAATGAATACACATATCGTTGGGTCGAGGGGTTTTCTGCCATCACCGTTTGGGAAATCGAATAATCCCTGATCCACTTTTGAATCTTAAGAAGTTTGAAAAAGTCTGAAACTTGGAACTTGATTGTATCTATCCATCTCCTATTGACACCCTTCTTGAATTCAATGGTCCAATTTTCCTGGAAATTTTTCCCAAGAGGAAAGCCACAGCAACGATCATGTGGTGAATTCCCTGCTTGAGCAATGAGTAGTTGCTCTTTGTTTCTTTTTTGTGGCTTCAGAATCACATTATACGATTCCACAATTCTCAGAATAGATTAACAGTTTTCTCTGGATAGAGGTCTCTTGGTTTCAAGTTTACGTCTTCATAACTCTAATCTTCATTTTCCCTTGATTTCAATTCCGCAGATGGGAAAATCATGCAGTGCTAAGATCTAAAACTTCAAGGTTGGATCTTTTCCGTGGGATTTAGATCATGGGAAAGGAGAATGCTGGATCTGGCAATGCCATATCGCTCCATGGCCGCCCTTTTACGCGTGCCTTTGCGTCTACTTTGCGTTCTTCGGGACAGACAAAACCTTCAGAAGTGCCTACAAGACAGAATCAGCAACGGGTGCCGAGAGCTAACACGAAAAGAGCAGCCTTGGAGGAGAAGAAAAGCAATGCACCTAAGAAGCGAGCCATTCTAAGGGATGTCACCAACATTAGCTGCGAGAGTTCATACAGAAGTTGCTTCAATGTCGCTAAAGTTCAGGTTTTTAAGTTTACAAAGCTTCTCAAAATGTTGGCTTTGTCATTTTTGTGTAAGATACTGATGTCAAAATCTCTTCGATGATACTTTTGATCCAGGCGAAGGCCATCAACCAGTTCAAGAAGGGACGGGCGAGTACATCGAGAGTGGCACGTTCTGGTACTTCAGAAGAATCTGATCTTCAATCCAGGACAGAAGCAACGGCTGTTGAACAGAGTAGGACAGTCGAGTCTGAACTGAGTAAAGCGTCAAATTCGGCAAGAAACCCGTGTTTTTCTTCAGGCACGAGCTTAGTCACAAACGAAGGAGCAGCTAGCTGTATCGAGAAGCTGAATTCCAGATTGCCTCCTCGACCCCCTGGGAAATCAGCTTATAAAGGTGATCCAAGCTCAATCTAGCTCAGGTGTCAGTTGATTAACCACTGGGTTGTAACATACATATGTGCCCGCTTTTTGTAATTGTTTACAGTGGAGAAGAATGATGTTCCCGGCAGTTTGACAGCGTTGGATAGTCCGGAATTCATAGACATTGATTTGGATCACAAGAACCCTTTACTCTGCAGCTTTTATGCACCTGAAATCTACCACAATCTGCGTGTTGCAGAAGTAATATCTGGATGTGATATTGTTCTTTTTTTACTACCATGGATTCATGTTCTCTCCCATGTTCTTATTTCCAATTTTCTATTTTGAACAGCTTAACCGTAGACCTTATCCCGGTTTTATGGAGAGAATACAGAAGGATATCACCCAAACCATGCGGGGAATTCTGGTTGATTGGCTTGTGGAGGTTTGTTTGCTTGCTTTGCCACTGATTCTACTTTCATGCCCATGTTTGGATCTCGTTTCTTCTCGGTGTTTAACCAAGTTGTTCATCTAATTTCAATTCTAGGTCTCTGAGGAATATACACTGGTGCCTGACACTTTGTACCTCACAGTATATCTTATAGACTGGTTCCTTCATGGAAACTACATTGAAAGACAGAGACTTCAATTGCTTGGCATCACTTGCATGCTGATTGCTTCGTAAGTTGCAGAGCCATTTCAATACCTTATCTTGTCAAGGAAAATAGCTCGGTCTTAAGATTTTCTGGGTTGCTTGGACAATTTAAAGGAAGTATGAAGAAATCTGTGCACCACACATTGAAGAGTTCTGCTTCATCACGGATAATACTTACACAAGAGATCAGGTGCTGGAAATGGAGAGCGAAGTGCTCAAGTATTTTGGCTTTCAAATATTCACTCCCACTTCGAAAACATTCCTCAGGTATCGTGGCTTTTGGTGCTTCCTTCAAATGTTTATACTTTTGATGTTTCTTGGTTTCATATCCTTAATCCTCGATTCTCCAGGAGATTTCTTCGAGCAGCTCAAGCTTCTCACCCGGTAAATGATTTTTTCATGGCTATCAATGCATTTGGTTGTACGTGTTTAGCAGAAAGGTTAAGGCTTTGCTCGGTATTTGATGGCTGATCTGCAGAACTCGAGTCTCGAACTGGAGTTTCTATCCAACTATCTGACAGAATTGACGTTAATAGACTACGATTTCTTGAAGTTTCTTCCTTCTGTTATCGCTGCTTCTGCTGTTTTCCTTGCAAAGTGGACCTTGGATCAATCATGCCACCCTTGGGTCTGCATCCAATATTCTGTCCTCTTGATTCAGGACACAGTTCTGTTCCAAGAATCTTGGAACTCACTTTGGTTTTTCTTCGAGTTGCAGAATCTGACTCTGGAGCATTACACAACGTATAAAGCATCGGATCTCAAAGAATCGGTTTTCGCCTTGCAAGAGTTGCAGCTGAACACCAAAGTATGCCCCTTGAACGCTACACGCATGAAGTACAGACAGGAGAAGGTAAAGCACAACTAATCCAGTCTCAGTCTTGGTTTTGTTTAACCGAAATACCAGATTCTTGGAACTTCTGGTTATCATTCGGTTAATTCCGGTTTATGGATGGATCTTTGCAGTTCAAATCCGTGGCTGCTCTATCTTCTTCGAAGCTGCTTGACACGCTGTTCTAAAGGACTAAACCAAGCGGTTCATCTCTTAACCGATAACACATTTTTTTTTGTCATATTGATCTTTTAATCAAGCCAAAAAAATCGTTGTTCATAAAACTAGTTCGACTTTTCCACTCATCTCTACCACAAATCCGGTCTAATTTGGTTTGGTTCTATTTGAGTTTAGAACTTTAGATTGGTTTGGTACCAAATCCGGTTAAACTTAAACCGGTAGCAGCACCAGATTAGTTTATTTGTATCACTGGGATGTACATTATTACAGAGTCGATCTTTCTATGTCTTTTTCCGGACAGTTTTTTTGCTTTGTCTATCAAAATGTTTGGATGATGTATGGTCGGGGAAATATGCCACGAAAAATAAATATTTATAAATATATATTCACATTCTGTCACTTAATGCATTAATTAAGAGAATAAGCTCAGAATCCTCAATTAATTACACGTTATCCTGAGGAGGAATATTGCTCACACATTATGTGACAATATGTCTTTTTCGCACCACAGAAATTAAAATAAAAATAAAAATAAAAACATATTAAGTCTGTGCTCCTTTTTGTGCCTCATCGCTGATGTGTCGCTCTGCTTGGGGAGGGAGGGAGGGAGAATGGCGGCAGCAACTTCGAGCTTGGTGTCGCCATGGCAGGCGGCGACCTTTTTTCGGCATTATAATAATAGCTTTTGTCAAAAGGGTCATCCTGTTCCTTGTTATTATAATCTTCATTTTAATAATAACAACAACAATTCCAAACGTCGTTTCCTTTCTTCAAACGCCTACAACCATGTTGATTGTTCTTCGTCCTCGAAGCTCTCGCCCATTCATGCCCATTTCTCGTATCCCGGTAAAGCAGCGTTTTTTCTGCTTGTTACGGTAACCCTTTTCGTAATTTCTGATTGTAAAATTGTGGGTTTCTTCTAGTACGATGTCGAGTGCCGGGATTTGGTCTTGATGTTTGTCCCAGTTCCTCATTTCTTAGTGGTTTTTCATCTTGTTTCTCTGACGAATGTGAAGGTATGGGGAGAACTATGGTTCAGAGTGGTTAAATTGCTTAATTTTTCTCGTTTGGAGCTCTGTTTCGGCTCCGGATTCGTGTTTTCTTTCAGTTTTGATCATGATTCTGCGTGTTTGGCCGATCGATTTGATTACAGGAACGGAAAAGGAATTGATTCCTAAGGCTGAAGTCATTACCTTTTATGAATAATGTCCTTAATGGTTCTTCTGGGAAATTGGAAATTATCAACTGGTAGCTCTCTCTGTGATTTAACTCGGCCTCGGTTCATTCTCATGCAAAACCTTCTGATTCTGCGACGACAGTTTTTAAGATTGTTCTGAATATGGAAACCCTTTCTTGTGGACTATCTGTTTTTCCTTATCTGCAGGTTGTGGATGCTCCTGGATTCAAGACAATTCGATGGTTCATGTTTCAGGGACGAGTAGCGACAGATTGTTCCGATGCTCGGCCCTACCGACCAAAACGGTGGACATTGCTTCAGTGCAGGATCTTTTTCAGTTCATATGCTCGGGTCCTCTCATTGAAAAGTTGGGTCTTACTCCCGAAAAAGTCGGAGACTCCATTGACAAATGGCTAATGTATGGATCACAGCTCTGCAGACTGTTTCAGCTCAACGAGCTCCGTCTCACGGTTCCTCAGAAAGCTAGGATATACCACTACTATATACCTGTCTTTGTCTGGTGTGAAAACCAGATTGCCCTGCATAATTCCGAGTTCGAAGATGGAGATGATGTGCCTCCATTAGTGGTACTGATTCAAAACTATCGAATCAGTATTATATAAGAAAAGGGTCGGTTGATCGTTGAATCATCGATATTTTCGAACATTGCAGATTGGTTTTAGCGCCCCACAAGGGTGTGGTAAGACGACGCTCGTGTTTGCACTCGATTATCTTTTCAAAACTACCGGAAGGTAATCACCTTTTTCACTCTGTGCAAGCTGAGTCGTTCTTGCCATGAAAAAAGAGATGGTATCTCATGGATTTTGTTATGATTTCAGGAAATCGGCAACCATATCCATAGATGATTTCTACCTGACTGCAGAAGGCCAGGTGTTATATGCTTGAAAAGGAAAAAAAATTATCTACTCTTTGTCTTGGTTTATCTGTCAGTTATCTTGCTTATGTTGTTAACTACCGTTATTGGTAGGCTAAACTTCGAGAAGCAAATCCGGGAAATGCTCTTCTAGAGGTTAATGTCATTCTCTGATTCTCTCAATGTTTCTGTCTGTGTTTTCTCGGGTTCCCGACATTTTCTCCTTTGTATTATGTTCCTGAGAATGGTTTTGGTTGTTTTCAGTTGCGGGGAAATGCAGGAAGCCATGATCTTCAATTTTCCATCGAGACACTTGAATCTCTTACCAAAATGACCAAAGAAGGTTAATAGTTAGTTCATTCAATCGACGGCTTTATTCGCTGTTTTTTTCTTTGTATGTACCGATCTAAGTTTGGTGTGTTTTTTAGGTATGAAGATGAAAGTACCTCGGTATGATAAGGTGAGACTAATATTTGCCTTAACATTAAGCAAAATCAAATTTCAAAGACTCGACTTTCGTGTTCTTGATGTACTTCTCCATGGCCGTAGTCTGCTTATAACGGGAGAGGTGACCGAGCTGATGCTTCAACATGGCCTGAAGTTGAAGGACCTTTAACGGTAACTCTCATTCAGATCACGTTTGAAGTTGAAAACAGAGCATTTGTTCCGAATTGTTTTTCTGCCTCTTCGAGGTTCACTAACATTTGAGAAGATTCTCATTTTCGGGTATATTTTCTGCATAGGTTATTCTCTTCGAGGGGTGGATGCTCGGTTTCAAACCGCTTCCATCCCAAGTCGTTAAAGCAGTTGATCCGCAGGTCATTGTCAAATATCACTTGGCTTCTACATGATGGAATCTTCCATCATTTTTCCATCCAAACAAAAACATCTTATTATCGAAATGGCGATTGCTTGCTTTGCAGTTGGAGACGGTGAATAAGAATCTCGGAGCTTATTACGACGCGTGGGACAAGTACATCGGCGCTTGGGTCGTGATCAAGATTAAGGACCCGAGTTATGTCTACCAATGGCGACTGCAGGTTCGTTAGTTGTGTCCCGAACTATGGATTCGTTTCTTGGTAAGTGTTCGATATCAAAGCCGGGTTTTTTTTGGTTGGGGCAGGCTGAGATCGCAATGAGGCTGGCGGGAAATCCCGGGATGTCGGATGAAGAGGTAAGGGACTTTGTTTCGAGGTACCTACCTGCGTACAAAGCGTATCTTCCGACGCTCTATTCGGAAGGGCCAAACGGGTCGGACTCGGGACGGGTTCTCGTAGTTGATATCGATGAAGAGAGGAACCCTATTCTTGCGGCTTGAAACTGCGAAAAAATGGGAGATCGGAAATCGGAATTTCTTTCTCATCTGAATTCGAAGCGGAAATGGTTATGGATAGTCTCTCCATGTCTGAGCAGTTGTGTTCATTGTCGTGTAATGTCATCGATGGCGTTTTTATTGTCTTGGTTTCGTCGTGTCACTGCTATTACAATCAGAAATCACAAAAATTCTTCTGTCATGTCACTATATCTATTGTCATACAATAGCATATATATATATACACCGTCCGATCAAATTCTCATAAGCAGACGAGCAATTGAAAGATGTAACGGTTCAGAGTTCATTGAGACGCTATAATTACCATAAAAACGGAAGCTGACGCTATATTTTCTCGAGAAAATGATGGAAAATCCCTGGCTTTTCCATCTCGGAGTTGTGATTGTTCTGGTGAAAGTTTTCACCTTTGCTTTTAATCTTCCTCCGGGCAATTTTCCTTCTTCCTTGCGCTTTGGGGATTTTCCATGGTCTCTCCATCAAACCTGTGTTCTGTTTGGTGGATCTCACTTGAATTGGGATTTCTGGAGATAGTGTTCTTCAGAAATATGGTTGTATCGTTACAGATATAGGTTATCGATTGTAAGTGTCGAATTTCATCTGCGCTTGTCGGTTTCCCGAGGGAATTTGGATCTAAAGGACCGCCTCATTGCTAATTTGTACCGATGTTTCGTCGTGGTTTGCCTCGGGTATTTACGTCTAGTTAGTGTTTCAGCATTGCTTCCGGCTCATCAATCACAAGCCTGATGCTCTGCGAGTATAACACAGCTTTAGCGGGGTATGGTATGATGTAAACCGGTTCCGAAATCGCATCTGAGTAGGTGTGTGGTGACGACGCCAGATAGTGAGAGTCCGAAAGCTGTGATCGTTCGACTGATGCTTTCGATTTATCCGAGAACTTAGACGGATGTTTCTTCCCCGTTGGATTGAACAGAAACTGAGCTGATCAAGATCCTTTGCTAATGGAGCGTGACATGGGGACGCCTCATGTGGGAGAGAACACAGGCCGACCATGTCTGGGAGACCATGACCATGTTCCTGTCTCGGCATT